TTCAAAAAAAGACTTACTGTTGAATAAACATAATCGCAAATATTCACAATAATTACAAATAGTTGTACTTCAAATCTTCCGCACTTTCAAGGATATCTAAATTTTGAAATAAAGTTGATATCACTTTGTTGATTACTGTTTACTCGAAGGTTCTGAAATAGCAGTAGAGATCTTTGCCACATGTATTAGAATTCACTTAAAGCAAATGGTATTATTGGTTCTCTGACTGACACTGTTGTCAAAAAATAATGAAAAATATATGCGTGTCGCATTGTATGTGATGCTTTCAATTAGAATTATATTCATGCTTTGTTTACCTTCTGGAGCGGATCGGTAATTTGCAGAATTGTGAAACTGCTAGAGGAAGACGATTGCATTCAGATAGCTGGTTTATATGTTTAATTCAAGTAGCTGTCTACTTTTGTATATGTTTCGTTGTGAGTGCAAGTTTTTTAAAAATTTTATAAATTTTATCGCGTTATAAATGTGTATAATGATGATATATTGGACCATCACGTTATATTACGTTATAAATTATCATATTTGTACCTACATTTGATTGAATCGATTAGTTTCGTCATTATCTGAAATGTTCCTTTGCTTTGCTGAAATCTGAAGGAATCAAAAAAGGAGGGTTCTTTTCTGAGCTCCATATAATGGAATCCTGAATCTGTTTTGTCTTTTCAATTTCGACATTTCTCGAATTATTTCGAGTTATTTCGAGTGTAAGCTATGTAAATCTTTATCAAGAACTCAGGTTTTAACGGAGCATGAAATCACTGAGGAAAAGAAATAAGGATGAGCGTTCGATAATTGGATGTATTGGAGATATACATAATCTGTGCAATTTAAAGGCAAGCGACAGAATTGTTGATTTATGGATACTGACAAAGTACAGTTGGGACTAACAAGGATCTCGGGAGTCTGAACCACAGAGAGATCTATACTGGTTTGCTTCAATTCTTTTTTTCACACAAAAGATCTTTCTAAAGCTATTTTTGTGAGATTTTTATCTGGAATTAAAATAGAGTAGATCATAGTTCGCTTGATATTTAACAATTTGCAAAAACATTTTCAGTGTTGTAAAAACCAGCAGATGACTAATATTAGAGATTTGAGTCTTGTTATACCTCTGCCTTTCCATAACTTTCATATCATTATGGAATTTTTGATCACATAGAGAAAAGTAAAATATAAGAACTTGCAGATCTTAAATTTTTCTTACCCGGTTAACATAAGAAAGAGAAATGTTTGAGAACTGGGAATTTTAGTGGAGAGAATGGAAGATCAGAGCAAATTTTGTTATTTCAGATTTTCACCCTGTGAAAAACTTAGAATGTGGAAAGTAAATTGATGAATTTTTATTCATAAAGCTGATATTACTCATAAAGGATTAAAATTCCCAAACTACATAGCTAGATAGGGAAGAACAGTAATGGGGATTAAAATTTTATAAAGAGATTAAAATTCCCAAATTACTTAATTAGGCAAGAAAGAATAGCTATAGAAGAATAGTAAAACAATACCTGGTTGCAACCAAAAAGAGGATATGCTTCGGAAACGCATTATCATATTCCATATCCCGCTACTGCTCTACGTGGGATTGTTTTTGAATTGTCCGTGGAAAGGAAATCACCTCTTGCTCTAAACTTTGCTTAACTGAGGTAATTAATCGGAATGTAAAACTTGGTGTGAATAGGCAGTAAATTGATTGTTCAGTTTTGTTTTATTGAACCGATAATTCAAAAAAAAAAAAACAATCCAAGTATGGATTGCAAATAAGCACTTTTGAACATTACGGCAGAATCTGAAATTCCTTAGTCTATATTTCTGTTTCATCTTTGTATCGACGAGCAAATCATTTTACTTATTTTGAAATTTCAATATTATTTACATGGTTCATAGACCTGATATAACCAGAAAGAAAGTGACCTATACTGCTAAGTTTTTAGGAAGATCTTTTGTCGGACATTCATTATTAAGATGACCAGCCAGTTTTGTGGTAGAGTGCTATTCATATTATTATATTGCTTTTTAAGAATAACTCATTTGTTCAGATCTGGATCTTTGTTGACTTGAGTTTTACTTATTTAATTTAAACATGAAGTTTTGAATTTCTTATGTGGAAGAATTATAAATGAAGTAACAGCACTACGAAGGAAAGAATCTTGATCTCTCACATTCTTTCACTTTTTTCCATAATTTCTTTTTCACCAAACTGAAATGTTTAAGTGCAAGGGTGATGATGTTAAAGAAATTTTCATCAAATTTTACAGAAAATGGGCGATGAAGATAACGAAGTTGGCTTACCTCAGAAGGGCCTAAATATGATTATCAAGGATGTGATACCGGAAATGAGGGTAGCCAATGAATCGCGTGAATTACTCAATGCTTGTTGTGTGGAGTTCGTAAGGCATGTATCACGCGAGGCGCAGCGTATTTCAGCGGATGATCAGCGTAAAACGATTTATCATGAACATGTTCAGAAAGGTTGATAATATTGTAATTTCTGAAAAATTATTCATCTTTTTTATCTATTAAAATATGTCATATTACATTTCTGTGTTAAACTGAAATCATTCTGTAAGCCTATTGATGAAATGGATTTTCTCCTAAAAATCATAAGAATGATGGATTTATTTTCTATGATGCAGCGCTTTCATTTATATGTAACCAACGCATATTCTTCAAAACCATTTGAAATACATGCAAGATCAATGTTTATGAAAATTCTAGAAGAAAATTACGAAAAGAAGAAATACTTAGTAATTTATATTAATGTGTTTTCTTTATCGTCTCTGAAGACGGATGATATCTGATAGCTTCCGTCATATATCATTTCGAAAAGCTGATGGAATTTCAAAAAGCTTGATGAATATAATAATATTTGTTATCTTGAATGATAATCTGTCTTTTTATTGTTACATTTCTGGTTTTCGAATTTTATAGAGAAAGGAAATTTCTCCTAAGCATGTCTAAATTGCTATTTTCTTCCTCCCCCGATAATTCTACTAATGTTATATTATCAGAAATACATTAGATCAAGTCAATTGGCATTAGTGTTTGAATTATCTCTCCTTTTTATTAATCCATTAATTACTTTTTTCAGATCTTTAAAGCTTCTGACTTTTGGATGTTGTCATAATCAATACTTCTACTGTATTGCCACTTTTTTCAGCCTTAATAAATTTGGCATTTCCATATGATTATGTCGAAGCAGCAGATAGTGTGCTCAGTGAGTGTAAAATAGCTGCGGAAAATAAATTGAAGCGAAAAAATTCTCGACTAGATAAATGTGGTATTCCGGAAGATCAATTATATTTAATGCAGCAAAAGCTAATTGAAAAGGTATACAAAGCTTTTATCATTTTTTGTAAAACATTTGAAATATTTTTAATGGAGATCTTGGAAAATACATTCAATGGAAGAATCATAGCCAGTCATATTTTTGAAAATTTTTACTCGTATTTCAGATTACATTGAGTACAAAGGTAATTTATATCAGCATCCAATTTATAATTTATATTGTTATTTGTATTATATTTAGGATGACAGATTAATTAAATTAAAGGGTAGTTGTTTAGGCACGTCAGGAACAGCTGGAAGCAGAAGCGGCGGAACTAAATCGACTTCAGCAAGAAAATAGAGGAGGGATACAGAGATCGCTAAGTGAATTGCTGTCGAAAGATGAAGATGATGAAGATTATGATACTGCTTAACTCTTTATACTTTTCAGGGAAGTAATCTTTTCTAGAATTTCGTGAAATATTCTACTTTTGAAACAAATTAATCATATGATTCATAAATTTTTATGAATTTGGGTTTTCGGACTTTCGAAATTTTTAAATCGCATAAATTTTTAAATACTCCTATAATGTGTGATCCCATTTCAGAATGTATACGTTTTTGTTGGAGAAAATTTGTGTCTCATTTTAGTTGCACACTTCTATTCTAGAAAAGACAGAGGATTAAAAGTCGAAAAAGTTTGTCGCGAAATTGTGAGCTTGTTTGATGTTTTCGAAATCTGTGATCTTTATTCTGTGCTTTTCTGATATAATTGAAAACTTTTCCTCAAAATTGCCAGCAAATCTTGTGCACCCGAAAGTTTTATTGACGAATAATATAAGAATAACAAGATTAAACTAAAGAAACTTGCGTATTTGTAAAATGTTGTAAAAACTATAATAAAGCTTGCAAAGTATTATTTTGATGATAATTATGTATTGAACATCAAAATTCATTGGAAACTATTAGAAGCAGCACTAATCAAAAGTGGAGAAAGTTGTTTGCGACGATTTAGATGTAATGTTAAGGACGGGGAATGAAAGACTGTCTCTTCGGTGAAATACCTTAACTCGAACCGTAAAACTTTAGACTTGCCTGTCTGAAGTTTCACAGATCGACTATAACTCACAGTTATTATCACGGTCCAAAAAAATTTTTGAATTGATGTTTTTGTTCATGAAAATGGTGAAAGCAGATTTGACAGTGTGAGCTTGTGGGTTATTAACGATCACTATCAATTTGATTTAAGAACGAAAACCGAAATAAACGATAGGAAACATTCAATTTGAATTCAATTAGAGCCACTTCAAATCAATTTGATTAAAAATATCACTATTATTATTTTATATGAAAGTAACGCCATTGTGGCTTGGACTTTTTTGTTATACAACGACGAAAATCTACGAAGAAAGACATAGACGAAGTAAAGCGATATTTTGTGTATTATATTTAGTGAAAAGTGAGGACAAGAATATAACAATGTTAGGCTTATGAATTCGAACCAAACAAAACAAGTAAGAGTGAATTATAAGTTAACAATTGTAAATGAGCATTTCGTGGTATTTAAGGTCACATTATCAATTATGACCGATAAACAGTATACGATGAGATCGGATCTTTTTCATCTTCTTAGGCCTATGGACAAGAATATTGAGGCCTGTCGTCCAAGTGTACTCCGTATTGTATGTACGTATATATGACCATTCCTCTCATTGCTAGACTTCAGTCGGTACCGCAGAACGAAACTCATCATATTGTGTAAAATCGGTACTTTCCTGTTCAGCTGATTGTTGGGGAGATAATAATGATGATTTTTGAACATAATGTGATAATGGTAAGGTTCGTCGGACAACCACCGGTTCAGGTGGTGGCGTCTGAGGACACTGTTCGATGTCAGCAATGATACTGACGCTGAGGATGAATTTATCACTGCAACGAAATAAATATATTGCATTTATAATAAAACTAACTAAAAATGTGAATGTTTACGAATTGTGTTATAGAAGATAAGCAACTGAAAAGCTATTATTATTCATTCTTTTTATTCCACTCTTTTTTTTCATTAATTACGATAATTAAATAAAAAAAAAGATTGAACTAACGTTGGATCATATTGACGACATAAAGTAATCAATGATGGCTCTTTTCGTTCTGCAATTAATGCTGCAATGGTGTAATAATGGAGTAATTTGTTGAGTTGAATATTTGCTATTGCTTGCCAACCATCCATAATATAACTTTGTGCGGTATGAGCTGAATTTATCCTTAAATTAACAGAACCACGACCAAGTGCTGAATAACCATCACGTGCTATCTTTGACATGTAAAATTGAGCTTCCGGATCTTTGCGTACCTTGAAAAAAATCAGATACCATCAGTATGTCCATTTGTTTGTCCATCTCTTAAATATGAAATAGTCTCCATTCTATTGAACCCCATAGAAATGAAATGATCGTTATGGAAGCATATTGAAATAGCTAACAGTTCGTGAAATACTATTTACCTGATAAACAAATAATCATTATTTACCTTCCTGCATTACTTACTTTCATGATAACTTCTTTGCACAGAGTATTAATCCTTGAAAAGGAACACACTTCACGATGTTTTGACCAGTCATATTCACGACATTGACGACTACAGTAATATGTGTAGCAGTGCTTGCATGATATGTATTGCATTCGAGCTTCTGCCAATTCCCTCGTCTGATGACATCGTGCACACCGTACATACAATCGTTCATTCTGCAATGAAATATTTAAGATCAGAAATTTAACCCAAAACTATTTCAAAAATTTTTCCCAATCATTTTGATATGAGGTGATAACAAAAGTTGCCCTATAAATTTATCAATAAATTATTCGAATATTGAAAGATTGTGGAATGCTTGCTTAATAGAGCGAGAATATCTATTCAGAAATTTAAAATAGTTCAATTTGAGATTGCAAAATTATTCTTCTCCTCTATCATTGTTCGATTCATTTCAATTTAAAGCTCTTTCCTGACTAGAGATAGAACAGGGTAAGTTTAACTGAAGAGTATGAAACTAATTGCTCTTTTATTAATTTTTGTGGTTTAAAAAAACCTGAAGAAGAGCTTCAGCTTCATGTGGATCTCGCACTAGTTGTTGCATCAATTCATTATTTTTCACATAGATTCCGGATTTATGCGCTTGTTCATCATCAATAATTCCACTTTCCGAAGGGCTCAAATAAAACTAATTCATATATCTCAAAAATTATGAGACACAAAATAAGAATGATGATTCTGAAAAAAGTATAATTTTTTTTTCATTTGGCAAAAATGAGTAATTTAAATAATTAAGCCAAATCAGTCAGATGTCAATATTTGAAAAACAATTAGGTAAATAAATGGGAAAATGAATGCGCAAAAGGAATAGTAGAGATAAATTTTATTAAAAAGATTTTCTAGTTCCATTAATTATTTAATGAAAATGAAAATAGCTATTAATTTAGCACTACTTCTTAACTCTTTAAAATTATTCTAAGTGATAAATGGCCTATTCTATAATAGTTACATTCTGTGATAATAACAATTCTTCATCTTGATAACCAAATAATAAGTAAGTAAATAAATCTCGACGATAATAACCTCATTTCATGCCTTGATGATGATGATAATGATGATGATGGCTTTGTACGTTGAAAGATGGAATCCAACACTTCTTCGATTGTGATCCGTCCATAAAAGCGTTGTAAATATGTGTCTAAAATTTGACATTTTGAAAATTTTTGAATAAATAATTACTATCCCTGATAAAAAACTAATAATAAGTTTTTCAATTTCTTAGTAAAAAATTAGTGGTCACTTTTCATAGCTAAAAATATTGCAAAGTATGTGACGGAGAAGTTTATTTGAGGTTTCATAACAAAAATTTTTAACCATTATGAGGTGAAGAAGCTCTATTTGAGCCAATAAATGTATCTGCTACTTCCACTACTCGAGAATGCCTAAAACTTGCATCCATTATTAAGCTTTATTAATACTACATCAACTATAAATGATATTCTAAAACAACAAAAAAAGAACTTACCGATCACTTGATATATTCCAATTGGGAGGTACTGTAGTTACTGCATAACCAGGTAATTGCTTAATTGAAGTAAGTCCTGTTGGTGATACTTTTTCATCATTCATTGATACCTATTGCAATATAATTTTATTAAAAAATATAAAATCGATGAATGTTTTGAACGACTATTACTTACATATTTGAATAAGAATTATTTATCTAAATTAGTGTTAAGTAATTCAGCATTAAGGAAAGGCGTATGCATATCAGAATTCATTTCTATATGTTCACTAATTATTTGTAAGACATTTTCGAAAAAACAATTCTTTAATTTATTTATTTTATTTTTAAAAAGTTTTGATACGTTTTAATTTGGGTAAATCAATAAATCAAAACAATTTTATGCTTTGAGGAGAAAGTTGCCTTCCCGTCCCTAAGAAAAAAATTTTGCGGTTTTGATTTTTTACATTTAAATTCTTCTTTTTACTCAACCATACTGAATTTAAATGGAATAATGCACGCCTTTTTTACCTGCTTCATTTATTTAATTAGGTGGTTTATTAGAAATTTCAAAGCAACGAAAAGTTCTCATTGAAACTCCGAAGAGAATCCAAATTAACAATTTAAATTCATTTTTGATAAAATCTTCATCTTCTTTTGATAACCGTTTAACAAGTTCTTTGATTGTGTGATCTACGAATGACGCTGTTAGTCTTTAAAAGTAATTGTTGGTGCTTTTGTTTCATTAAAATTTAAACTCATTCAAACAACAATTTAAAGGATGGAAACTTTCGTCTTCTTAATGCAGCAAAAGTTTATCTCGATGTCTAAACGGCAACCAAATAATCAATTGGGATGAAAGCGATTCAAGAAAAATTTTGCTACAAGCTTAATCACTTCGGTAGATTTATATGTAAGCAAAAAGAACACTCCGATCCAACTATTCTCATTAACATATATAATTCGATGTAATACAAGAGATATTCCATTATTTGTCATTTATTATAGTGAAGAAATCTATTCATTCATTCTAANTTCGATGTAATACAAGAGATATTCCATTATTTGTCATTTATTATAGTGAAGAAATCTATTCATTCATTCTAAAGAGTGTTTATTTCATTCAACAATTTAATATTTTGTCAAATTATTTTTTCCCAAATCAGAAAACAACACATCCATGCGATAAGCATGCAAAGAAAGGTAGGAGAAAGCAACAGGTAAAAAGAGCACCTTGGCAAATAATAACTTTTATCCTTAACAAAAACAGAAAATTAAACCTTTTAAATTCACAAACACAAAAAATGCAGCTATTAAAAGCGAACTGGTCAAAATATTCTCATTGACATATAATTCGATGTAATACGTCCAGCACATTTTCCATTCTTTCAAATCGTTAAAATTTGCTTTGCTGGGAGAAGCGCTAAAGCAATACCAACAGGTAATTTTAGAAGATGAAGCTGTGCTGTAATTAAATTGTTAATTTATAAAAATAACCATAAAAATCGATATAAACTTTCGCATAATCAATAAAAACGACAACGTAGCAAATTGTCCGTTTTTCTAACCTTCTCGGAACCCTCAAATTCTCAAAACTATTTTCCAGAAAGCTTCCCACAAAAGATAGAATAAAATAGTCAGTTATTATGGAAAGGAACAAATAGATTTTGGTTAGATAAAACGAATGAAATCAGACGTAATTCCTTAAGTTAAAAATATTGATAGTGTTGGGATATTAATCATTGCATGAATTTATACATATTATATTGATTGATAATGAAAGAAAAATTAAAATGCATTTTAGGATTAAAGTTTTTTTAAAAGAGTTTATAAGCTAAGAAAATGCGAGCAACACAATTAAGCAGCGGAAATGAAATCACAGCAAATATAGAGGAGGTAGAAATTAAAAAAAATTTTAAAACAAACACATTTTTGTGACAGTATAAGATTGCTAATAATTTGCATAAAAGATATTCCCTTTTGTTTTTTCCATCAAAACTTCCTATTATTTCAACTAGCACATTTTCTTAGTGAAGAAATCGTACAGGCTGTATGGGTGAACTTTTGAATGAGATCTGCTAATGGTATCCCTCAAAATCAATCAAAAAGAAAATGTCAACATAAGATTTATGTATTTTATGCAAATTTGTCAGCTATAAATGAAAATAGGAAAATGAGAAAAAGAAAATAACAAAAGAAGAAAAGTAAAACTAAAATTCCGAGCAGAGAGAGATTCAAAATGTTGGAAAGACAAGGATAATAGTTGGTAGAAATGACAAATTAATATAAGGAAAAAACTGAATTATTTTTTCGAAAGGAAAAAAATCTAAGGTAGACTTTTAGCAAACAGATAGGCTTCTAATTAAATAATATAAAGTTTGGCTAATATTGGTGAAATTGATTGTCTAATCAATAATTCATTCATTTCCTCAACAAATAAATTTCTATTCTCTTCAAATTTTTAGCTACACATTGTAACTTCTGCTTTTAATTTCATCTTCAAAGATGAATTAAAATATTGGTTCTGATAACAGAGACATTAACAATTGCATCGGTTGATTTTTACTATACAATGCAAACCTTCCGTTTATCGTCGTTGGTGCCAATTTGATTTAGTGATGTTCGACTTCTGCGCATTTCTTCTATTTCATCCTTATATTTGTCAAACATACCGTATGGTATCACAGCAACAGCACCACTTGTTGTTGATGGTCCTGAGATGGGAATTACCTGAGGTGGAGCACTATATCGATCTTGTTCATAGGAGAAAGGTGAGGTATATCGAATTTCAGATGTTTTTTCCTGAGTTGTACGAATACCATTGTAAGATAGTGGTGACGAAGTACCACTCAGTATTGCCCTTTTCTCATGACTACTACTACTACTACGACCTCCTCCTATCTGTCGTTCACGATACCAATCTGGTACGTGCAACTTTTCTGTAGATTTTCGAAATCGTAATTCATGTTCCGAAACATTTGGAGTTTTTTCGTTGAATTTCTGAAGTTCATTTTCCGGTGGCGCCGATTCTTCACGCATTCTAAAAATAATTTAAAAGAAAATAAGTGCTAATAAAAAATTTCTTCTGATTTTTTCATCATATTAATTCATTAACTAAAACTTATTATCTTTTTCAAATCTCTTTTAATATATATCGCTCATTTATTTTTAATTACCAAATCATTACTTATTGTTGCAATTTTCGATAAACAATTAACATTATAAAACAAAACAACCACAAATAGAAATGATTTTATGCGTTAATTCTATAATCAATAAGGTTAAAATTTTTTTTCTGATTAAGTTTTTGCAAATTTTATTCTTAAAACGAACATACTTTCGATCCATCAAATAATCGGCGCTTTTTGAACGTATGTGTGTAACGATGCTCTGTGGTGTATCACGTCGACTAAATCGATTGTAATCTATTGCTGAACCAGAACGATGTACATCATCCAAATTAGTTTCTTCAATCTGAAATATTTTTTAAAGAATAGAGCAATAAGTAGTATATTTTAAAAAACATGAATTTAGTATGCCTGAAAACATTTCAAATTCAAAATTGACCATCTCACAAGAATATTTAGTCCCAATGCATGAAAATGTTTCAAATTTAAAATTGACCACCTCACAAGGACATTTAATTCCAATATGGAAATACTGATAGAAAATGCGTAAAATGAAGCATAATTGTTGAAGCAATGAAGCAAAGGTACATTTACCACCTAATTAGTCTTATCATACTAATTATTGACTATCACCTTTCATTCACTCAGAAATCAACATGCTTTCCTGCGCTTTATATAAATTTTAAAAAGCATATGTTGTTAAAAGGATTAATTTTTAAGTATCTTTATTTTCAACGTTTAATTTTTCGGCTCATTTCTTTCTTTGTGTACGAAGAAAGAGGCCTATAAGCTTGAATTCCTCAGGCGAAATCCTACACATCTCATAACAAAGAGAAGCACTACATGCAGTTAGCAGCATTTTACTTAAAGTTGTTCGATCTGTCACGAGGACTATTTTGTCCCAGAAATCACTTTATTTGATAACTCATGCCTTAAAGCTGTATACTTTATATTTAGAGATGACATAACAAAATTGATATTTAAATATTAATTATGCATTGTTAGAAACTTAGTAGTACACAAAACAGTGCTCGTAAAAATAAATTATTTAATAGCATATAAAACATTAACCCAAACATTTGTCTATCCTGAAGTGATCACAGTGTCTATCTTAAAGCGATCACAGTGAAATCTTTTAAAAATAACAATCAAATGTTAAAGTATGGGTGGATAGTTATCTGATAATTTTAGAAAATTATCTATTGTAATATCAAACTGAAAATTTATGTTGTAATTTTATTAAAAATATTTCGCCAAAAAATACTGAGTAAATCTTTAATCAATTAGAAGCATTAATTAAGTCTGGCAAAATAATAGAACTTGCTCTATTTTTCAATCTGTTCAATAGATCGTGGTAATAAGAAAGAACATTTGAAGGTATTGGAAAAGAAAGTATGAAAAGGATCAGAAAATAGGTCATATGTGGAACCTGTCGTTGCGCTGAAACAATATCACCAATTCCAGTATCCAGGTTCGTTTCCAGGTACGATGTTGAATAACCTCGAGTTCGACTGTATAGATTTGGGTGTGAAAGACGTTGTTTGTAGGGCATCCAGTAGTGCTCAGCTCGTTCAAACAAACGGTTGTATTCCTGCTATTGATTTGTTTTCTTTTAATTAACTTAATTAATTCAATTTTGAATTAATTAAGTTATAGAGAAGTTTTTAAGAGAGAGTTAGATCTTCTCATCAAAATCCCTACAAAAAAAGAACGATGGCCATCCAATGGTTTTATGAAAAAGTTGTAGCAAATTTTTAAATTTGAATTTTTTGAGAAAGTTATTGTAAATGGATGATTAGATAGAAAGGTATCACATTTACAGAGTAAAAGAGAAGAGCTCAAGCAGATTTGAATTAAGATAAAAAGCGGATGCAAAGCAAAAAACATTCAAGCAAAATTTGTAATTCATCGTTTTTTTTTAAATTCAAACTAACTTCTTAAATTGCTCCTCATTTGCCCTTTGATGCTGTCTGCATCCTAAAAATTCCTGACTTTAAAAAATTTTTAAATTTAAAGTGAAAACCTGATCATATGGACTGGGACCAATACTACTATATGGCAATTGACTTGATTCATATTTCGAATTAAATTCATTCTTTTGCGATTTTTGAAACGGTTGTCCGTGATATAATGGTCGTGATCGTAATATGTCATCTGATGTTTGACGAAAACGTTCGCTTACTGCATCTAAGAATATAATATGGATTTAATTGGTTATTTGCATTTCAGATTCATATTATCAGAAATTCCAATCTCAAATAATGCTCGAAACACAATAAGAATGTCTCATTTAATTTAAGCATAGAATCCGTCGTTCTCTAAACACATTATGAACAATAAGATTTTAAAGAAGCATTCTTATTATTCTCTAAATTATCTTCCCTAAATTTTATGCAAAATAATACTTTTAAAGACGTACATATTTACAATATCACAGACTTTTTTAGGAAGATAAGTACCAACCAGATGTGCTGTTAGCATCATTTGAAAGGAATTCTTTTCTTGCCTTCTCCAATTTCGATCGATATCGACTAGTACGACGACTTGACGATCGACTAAAATCATCCTCGTCGGTTGGGCGTCGATTATACAAACGTTCACGTCCCAATATGCTTGAATCGGAACCATTTGATGTGTTTTGTGTGTACCTAAAAATTTTCATGAATTTTTGACCAAAATCCGAAAAAAAGAAATGGATGAGTTGACATTTGGAAGTTTATGATGCTATAAATTCATTGCAGTTATATTTGAAAAATTAATCAAATGCTAATATTTGAAAATATCAAAGTGTCACAAAACATTTCAACAACTCGAATTACAAGAAATCATTCTTATGTCGAAATTTTCTCAAACGTATTATTTAAATTATTATTTTCCATCTTTTCTCCATTAATTTTACTTCTACTATTGTTCTAATCCAAAGATCAGTATTTCAGTATAATGAAAATATTCTGAAGCTGCATGAACACTAATATATAAGAATTTCATAAAAAGATTTTTGGAAACCATATCCAACTCTGACAAATTGTGACCTCTCCTCAATTCCTTATTCCTTTCAAATAACAATCGGACATAATGACCTTTTATTAAAATGTTGGAAAGCTCAAATTATGTTGCCTGTAACGGATCATCACCTTTTGTCCTCTCAGTATCATCAATTCATTCAATTTTCATCAGCGATCAATCATTTTTCATTTTGATTTTTCTTCTCATTAATTCAAGACTTAACAATTTCTCATTAATTCAAACGAAGGTTATATTTAATCATACAATTTGTGAATAAATTTCTTGCATGCCTCTCCTACCTTTTCAGCAATTTATATCGTGATGGTATTTTTTTTCTCACTACTGTACAGCAACTATCGGCAAAAAGAACAAAGATTTTATTCCATAATTTGAAATTTTGAAACCAAAGAAAGCAAATTTACAAAAAGTAAAAGTGCGATATAATTTATCCGTTAGTAAGTGAATTAATCAAACAATTATTTTTAGTTATAATACCATCACGCTGTCAGTTATTCGATCAAAATATCAGAAAAGCTTACAATGCAGTATATAAAGATGCTTTCTTCCGCAAAATATAATGGCAAGGTTAGTGAGAACATTTAAAATGATTTTTATATTTTTTAAAAAAAATTTATGATTTAAATTTCGAACGTTCTTTTTAACGTTCTTTTCTTTGACTAAGAAGCGTTGTCTCTGTCAGTAAATTAAACTTAACAAAAAGAAAAGAAACAGTAATTCTACAATTCTTAAGGATATTTATCAATTTATTATAGCTGAAAATTAAAGTCAAAAGGTATTTCAAAGACTTAGAAAATGTTCAAATAAAAAGTTTTGAAAAATGAAATAGTCTTAAAGAAAATTTGTATAAATATATGATGGCCAAAAAAGGATGCAAAGATGATGTCACAAATTATGTAATTGGTGCAGTAAACAAAGCATTAATTGAACAAAGAGCTGGGAAGTATCAAAAAATTGAAATGCCAAAAATTTGGCACAAAATCATTTTGGACAAAAAATTTCTTGTCAAGCAAAAATGCATATTATTCCTGAAAATTTTCAAGCTGATTAGATCAGATAAATTAATTTTGATTCAACTGAATTAATTTTAAATTAATTGAAGCTTAAAATGCCTTTCATTATTTCTCATTGTCTTCTCTCAATTCTCATTACATTAAAAAAGCTGTAAATCTGATCTTCACCAGCTAGAAAACATTTACTTTATATCAAAGAAACTTTTATCAATTAAAATGAACTGAGCATTAAAATAGTCAAAGTAATTTACAATTGGTTTAAAAAAAATATATTTGAGAAATAAACAAAAAATTCTAGCAAAAGCTCTTCCTAAAGTAATCAAAAAAATTTTTCCGTTAAAACTTAAAAATAATATGTGAATCAGTTTAGCGTTTTTCTAATTTTATCGTTCTGCTAAATAATATTATGCAAATTTTCAGAACTGCATTATTCTTAGAAAAATATAAAAATTTTCTATTCATAAGAAGGCAATAAGAAAAATTCATACAATAGTTTGTTTACAAAATATACCTAGGATCGTCGGACCAGACGGTACGATCAATACGCTCGATTACTTGTCGCTCCACTTTAGTTGTTACTTCATTTCCGCTAATACTTAAGTTTTCTCGAGAACCATATGGAATTGCTGCCAAATTTTCTCGTGAATAATAAGGAGGTTTTGTCAATTTTTCTAACGTCTCCCGAGATGTTAACAAGTCTTTGCGGTGATCACGACTTGTTATCTGTTCTAATAAACGCCGCTTTTCCATTTCCATCTTCTCTTTTTCCTCTATTTCACGTGCTATCTGATCAAGCTTATCACGACTTCGGCGATCTTCAAGACGACGTTGGGCCTCACGTTCCAATGCTTCTTGACGCTCTTTTTCGCGCAATTCTGAATTACGCTTTTCCTGCTCGAGTAATTCTTTTAAGCGACGATCCTCTTCCATTCTAAAATTTGACATAAAAGGATCATGCAGAGCAATTTCTTCCAAAAATTTAAATTAGGCGAATTAACAACTTCTTACCAGCTATTCCTCTCATGAATGAAAGCGTATAAAACTAAAAATGAGATATAAGATTTTCTTAACATTTAAAATTTTTAGGTATTTTTTGCCATTAGCTTTATGCTCTCTTCACTTCTTTCAATTTTATAACTTCAATTTTCACTTCAGTCTCATCGATTCACTTTTATAGGAATCGCATGAATGATGAAACTAACCGTTCACGTTCCCTTCTCTCCGCTTCCTGCTGTTCACGTTCCCTTAATTCATTAGCTTCACGTTCCAAGATCTGCCTTTGTTCATCTCGTTGTATTTCAGCAAGTCGTGCTGCCTGTCTGCAAGAAAAAATTCCGCTAAAAGCGCAAATAGTACAGTATCAGTTATTCATGGAACTTCTGCTCTCTTCTTAATACTATTATACTATTAGAAAATATATAGCGAAGAGAAACATCTATTCCTTTATTAATCGCTGTGAAAAGACCATCGCATAACTCAATCGACACCTTTTTTGAGCAGCATTTCTGATAGCTGCCAATTTCTCCTGTTCCATCTTTTCTTCTAATTGACGTTCACGTTCCCGATGCATCGCTTCACGTCTTTCACGTTCACGCTTCTCAGCCTCAATTCGTTCCTCCTCCTGTCTTTGACGTTCTCGTTCCTCGTCCTCCCGCCTTTCTCGTTCACGTTTTTCCGCCGCACGTTTCTGTGCCTCAAACAGTTCCCTCTCACGTCGCTCCTCTTCCTGAAATAAAAATATTTCCGGCATTTGAATTGAAAAACAATAAGCCTCATTTCCTTTTCTTCACTTTTTTGAAGTTCATACTTACTTCTTTTTTGAAATTACAGAGCACTTATAGGTTAAACAATAATCTATGCCTTCGAAGATGCATTATATCTTTGCTTGAAATGAAATTCATTCATATTTCATGAGAAAAGCATATCAAAATTGTCAATTCTTAGTTTCTAATTTTCAAATTTCACTCACTTTACGCTGAAGTTCCCTTAATTCCGCTTCCTGCTTCTCCATAGCTAATCGCTTCTGCTCACGACATAAATTCTCTAAACGTTCTTTTTCTAAACGCTCACTAAGTCGTCGTTGCAATTCTCGTTCCTCCGCTTTTCGCTGCATTTCAGCTATTATTTCAGCTTCCCTATAAATTTTAGTTAAAATTTTGAAATATAAATGAAAATTTAAATGAAAAGCAGAAATTCAATGTGAAAGAAGGAATAGACAGAATTCAATGAGAAAGATTGAGCAAATGAAATTATAACCTTCTTTCTTGTTCCCTCCGACGAGCTTCACGATTTTCTTCTTCAATTCGTTCCGCTTCACGCATTTTCGCTTCTCGTCTTTGCATTTCTAATAGTTCTTCTTCTACTCTAAAAACTCAAATAAACTTAAATTATTGACTAACAGCGAAATAATTCCATTGCTTTGAAAAATGTCAACGCAACTCTGAATTTTCAAATTTCTAAAAAAGGCTTCAAAAAGTAAGTCAGACAATATTTTTAATAAAATATTCAATACCTCAGAAGCTCCTGTTTTTCACGAGCAATACGTTCTTGTTCCTGACGTTCTTTTTCAAGTCGTTCTTGGTCTTCTTTTTCTTTTTCTCGCTCCTGTCGTTCTCGTTCCTGACGTTCACGTTTGATTCGTTCGATTCGTTCAATTTCCAATCTCTCAGTTTCAATCCTTTCACGTTCCAAACGTTCACGTTCCAGGCGTTCTTTTTCTATCTGTTCACGTGCTAACCGTTCACGTTCACGTTCCGCACGCTCACGATCTAAGCGTTCACGTTCACGTCGTTCTTCTTCAAGCCTAAAATTTAGTTCATCCACAAAACTTTCAGTTACCTTCTCTAAAAATTGGTATTTCTGCAAGCGTTACTTATTCCAACAGTAAATACTAAAATTATGCATAGTTACTTCGGAATGAATAGTTGAAAAAAGTACGAACCTTTCCTGTTCCAGTCGACTTTTTTCTATCTCTCGCCACCTCTGCAATTCATGTTCTTCATGCTCCCTTCGGGCTCTTTCAATTCGTTCCCATTCCGCTCTACGCTGTATTTCAGCATTTTCACGTGCTGCTCGCTCTTTGTCTAATCGTAATTTTTCCAGTCGTTCACGTTCCAAACGCTCACTTTCCAATTCTCGATGCTTTAAGAATTATTTCATTAGGATAGCATCAAAGTTTTAAATCGGTAATGATTCCACATTTGCATGATAATATCCAAAGAGTAAGAATTTAAATTAAGTAATGATTTCATTATTTTAAAATCATTATCGATTTAATTCGATGAAAACGTTTCATTTCTACAACTGATCTAAATGATTAAATGTTAAATGTCTGCAATGTAAAAGGAAGTTTTCATGTGAGGTCAAAATAGAGCGATTTTTCTATACGCTGCCGTTTAACATTGGACTGTATTGGAGGGTAGAGGTTTCAAAAATTTAGAAAGTAATGTAAAAGTAAAGGAGAAAAGGAAATTTCATCCATATCCGATTAATAATAATTGATTAAATGATATGTGCAAAACAGATAAAACAAATCCGCATTCCGGATTTTTTCTTGATTTGCTTTGAAATAATATAAAGTTTTTTTAAAAAAAAACATATATTGAATATTTTGTCTATAAAATTTTGTCTGGTTTTTGTATTTCAAAAAAATATAATCTGAGATAAAAATCACAGTTCCAATATTTTGATTTCTTTATGATAATGATATTTGCTTCTTTATCAGGAAGAACAAATAATTAATCTCGAAGATAAATCATGGAATGTAATACTTTTATCTCTCGTTCATGTCGTTTCCTTTCTAAATATTCACGTTCCTTTATTTCCCATAAACGTCGTTCCTCCTCAGCTCGTCTTCTACGATCTTCTTCTTCACGTTGTCGCTCCTCTTGATCTTTTTTGATACGACGTTCCTCTTCCTCCAAACTTCTGCAAAACATGATAAATTTAGATGCTTAATTAATTAAAAAATGTATTACTTTGTAATGCAATTTATAGAAAACATCGAAAGTTAAAAAGCAAAAAGTTATTCAATTTCATTATTTTAGTTTTAAATTTCATTACCATTTTTGAATAAGTAAAATGTATCAAAATTTCTTACCTTAAATATTTGTAATTATAGTCAACAGTACGTTCTTCTCTTGGATAATATCTATTATCTGTGGATGAATATCTTTCACGTTCCACGATAAGAGGTGATGAACAAGATAACGGTGGTGCAGAAAGAGCTTCGGAAGAACGTGTGACGAAAGTTCTAGTTCGTATTTCTTTTCGATAATATTCTTCTTGATGATAATCACTAAATGGTGTTGTCGATGAACGACAATCGATGGCTGTTGTAGTTGTGGAAGGAACAGATGATGTGGTACGTTGTACCGGTATTTCACGAACAGTCCGAGATCGAGATTCTAAAATGAATCGAAATAAATAAACAATCAAGGGAAAATAGAAAAAAATGACACTTAAATTATTAATAATATATGAATATTTGCCTTCTTTCCACTTCACTAATTAACAGACTAATAAGCAAATAGCCAACAATCTATTAATACTTCGTAAGTTCATCATTAAATTCTAAATAATCGAATAAGTAAAAAATTAAAATAAACATACAAAATTAACTCAGTTTTTTATTTGAAATAAATTTTGAGAGCAGGTAAAAGATAATTTTTTGAAATAACACTAAATAAACTAACCGGATCGCTGTCCGTAAATGTCATCATCGCGCGACATATCGGAACTGCGCTGCTCCGTTGCAAAACCTCGACGATGCTGTAAAAATTTTTAAGGTTATTCAAATTTATTTGAAATTGAAATAAATTAGTATAGCTGAGTATAAGAAGATAATTGAGAACTTTTAGTAAGAAATAAAATTAAAAATTATAATAAGAGCGTGACAAAAAATAAATGTTTCTCATTTAGAGGAAAAACAATTTTTGGAAGAGATTCTATTGTATAACAATTATTATTGTAATAGGAAGAGCTGTTGACAAGTGTTTGCAGCATATCATCTAAGCAGTTAATTATTATCATTATTTTTAAACTGTGATTTTTCGCTACAACCATTTCTATTCCTGTCATAACTAAAAATTTGTGTCAATAAGTTGGTAACTATAAAATTTTTGTTGATGTTTGTTAATTCCAAAAACAATTTCTTTAAAATGTTTAATGTAAATATTTCTAACTAATAGAAAGAGCGAATTGAAAATCAAAAAACAATTGAATCAGTTGTGAGTTGAGAGACAAATTTTCTATCTAAGTTTATTTCATCTGAATAATTCTCAAATAAAGTTGAAATATAAGAGAATGTAACTGTGAGAAAGACTCCGAGGAATAATTTCTCTTCAAAAAAAAGTTAAGAAAAAGGAGCCATGTTTAACCTTGGAAATTCTTAAATTCCTTCACGGAGCATATTTAGAAATTACTACAATCCTTGCTATTTGTTTATCAATTATCAGGTGTGATAAATTCACATGACGCATTCTTTCTGTAATTTAATGACCACACGGAAGAATTCGAATAAAGTAATGAATCACATGAATTAAAATATTTTTCAGAGATGCACAAAGAATATTTTTAACTATTGGAATCTGATATGAAGATAAAATATTATGCCAAATATAGTCAGGCAACGATAATGCACAGGTCAGTAGATTACTCGGAATTTTCAAAAAAGTCTAATAGACTGTTTACAACAGAATGATTTGCATCATTGATGTCTGATTGATTAAACGAATGATCTATCTGACTATTGGCATCATTTGTTATTAACTACCACAAATGGAAATTAGTCGTTTAGTTATTAAGTACTACAGATAACAGACACATAGTACTATTTTGCATTGCTAAAATATCTCAACAAATACCGTTAGTATAATCCATTGATTGTTCTAAAATCTTCATATATATATTTACAGTATATCTGAGATAGCGTCAGTGGAACTTAAATAAGGTTTATAATTTAGAAATAAATAGTGAAAATCATCGTTTTCAAGTTTGCCAATGTAAGATGAGATTGTGTTTGGAGTGTAAGATTTTTTTTCTTACAGATTAAAATAAACTTATTTAATGGAAAAAAACCAATAAATATATCAAAAACTTTGTTCTTTCGTAACTTTTGAGAAGAGACTTTTTCCAAAGATATTTTGAAATCAAAAATAATTAATAATTTTTTGATGCGAGCGAGACAAAAGATTTTGCGCTTCCAAAATAGATGAGAGTTGTGTTTCGATTGGCCTTGATTCGGCCTAAAACAAGCACTAAACTTTATGGGAAGCTTTTGAAAGAATAAATAAGCAATAAGTTTGCAAGTGAATAGCATTGATAAAAAAAACCAATCGAAAACTTCATTGACTTCTAGAATTTAGATACTACGAAATAACGTATATCAAATATCATATATAATGATTGATATATACATTTGTTCTGTGAGTTTCGGAAGAAAACTCTTTTTCGGAAGAAAAAATCTTGAAATCAAAAATAATAACTTTCTCAGTGCAAAAAAAGTTTTGCATTTTCATAAAGTAAGCATATATATGCCCATTGAATCAAATTTCTTTGATATACAATTAATTCACTGACCATTCATTCAGTTTGTACAATGGTCAAAGGAATAATTAATTAGATTTGAGTAAATCAATCGAATATACGTCGATTAGTTGACCAGCAGTTATTCAGTCATTTAATCATATCTTTGATTAAAATTATGTAGAAGAAAAAAAAAAGGAAATTTGTTGCTGCTATTAAAAAATAATTGATGACAATAGCGCGGCTGGATGAAATCAGAAAGTAACAATGAAAATTTTTAGATGCCATTTAAATTGAAAGATACACTTCTGAAACATAAAATGTTTCGCCAAGGAGAAAATCTCTCTTAGAAGGGAAGAGTTCATAAGAAGGAAATGTATACATATATATGTGTATATGTATCTATATATGTATTGTATATGAAAGAAAGAAGGAAATACCATAAATTAAAGAAAGTTAGTTGTACAATTATCATCATGGCTGCGTGACAATTATGAATGGAAACTGATCGCAATGGGTCAGCGATATACCTCTCGTCTTTCACTAAATGACAACCTTAAACCAGTCACGAAGGTATTCTCTGTATGATAGTAATAAATAGTAGTAGTAAAGTACAAAAGCCCCAGTGTAAATAATTATAGAAAGGAAAAGGGTAAGAAGGAGATTTTCTACAATTTTGCAAAACTTAATTTTCTCAAATAAGGTTTATAGTGCAGCAATATTATTCATATCTCTCAAAATGTTAACAATTACTTTGCAGAAGTAACAAAATAAAAATTTAGTAAGGCTCACATAAAATTAATAAATAACAAATTATATGTATATTCTTACCGCAAAGTGCTGTATTTTCTACTTATATTCCACTCGATGAAAAAATTTGTTGGAAAAGTTGGACGAATGTTGCACACAATTTAATGCTTAGAAGAAAATTTTATCTAAATCTCCGACAACAATCGCTATTAAATATAAAATGGATGATTAGAGTGGCAATGTAATCCGATCGATATATTTTAATTAACATAAGTGAAAAATGCGCATCACTTTAAAAACTTCTAAAATTTTGTCACTTATATATTTCTACCTGTAATTGTAAGCATTTAAATGGTAACATTTGGTCCATAACAACATAATTTGGCACCAAACAATAATATTTGAAAGTTACGAAAAGTTTTTAAGTATCTGATAATATTTAATTACAGATAAATTCTTTATTTTCATGATACCATTCATAAGATATGTTACAAGCCAATTACATGGAGTGATTAGTAAGCTGGAACTAATTAGTTCCTTAAATTAGTTTAATGATACAGCGGACAGTGCAAAAAAAGAAATGATATTGTAAATTTGATAAGTGTTTAATCTTTAACATTCAAATTATTTTTAGACTTACAAGAATTATTTTTTTGGCATATCTTAACAATTAATTATATTCCAAAATTATAATATGAATTATTTGACCTAAGAATTATTGACCAAAATTATAATAAGAATTATTGACCTAAGTAGCTAAGTGCTAATTCAAGACCAAATAGCGTTAGTTTAATATATTGGAAATATATAATATTAGAAAGGTTTCCCAATGTTACATGTAATGCTTATCAATATATCATTATAATAATCTTTCAAGGCAACCGACACCAGAATTTCTGTTACCGAAATGGAAGTGATTGAAATTATCAGTCGTCGGTTAATCAAAATACGGCATTATCTTTTCAACTTATTTTTGATCTTCTGATAAAATATTTTATTTCGAAGTATCTAATCGCTAATAATCCAGCATAACAAAATCAAATCTTACATAAATTCATATATATATAACTCAGAAAATTGGAAATTAAATATATCATCGAGTTAGCTGGTAAGATAAAATCATAGTTTATACGATTGACTTGTTAATAACTAAAAGGAAATTATGATAGCGTTAAAATTCAATTTAGTAATAGAAGTTAGCTGTAGTTTTATGCAAACAGAAATGAGCAATATCATCAATGATTACCAAATGCTAGAAGTTGTTTGTCAATTGTGCAAATCACACGCTTTGTAATGAATCAATAACCATCACAATTTTAGTTGTCGAATAGATTTCAATGAAATGATAAAAAAAGGACTTCAATTTAGTGTGAAAATTCATTAGAGTCTAGAAAGAAGAAGGAACGATTTCAGAAGTATCGATGTGTTTCTGAAAAGTTAGAATAACATCGTAGAAGATAGGATATGATTTGGAAAATATAAAATTAATTTGATAGCAAATTCAACTGAATTCAACTGATTCAACTGATACAAATTTCATTTTGTCATGTCGGTAAATCATTGTAAATGAAATTATTATTATTTCTATCAAAACGGCAACAAAAAGAGAGAAATGGAAAATTTATTATTACTTAGGATAGATACTATTGTAAATTAATTTTGCAAATGTGAAGTAAACAATTTTCCTAAGCTAATTTTATTCGTAATTTTTTAATTTTAAATTTTCACCTAAAAGTATTAAAATAAAAAATTCTCAGATTTAAAAATTTTTTAAAAAAGTTAATCGTTTACTAAACTAAAAATTAACGAAACTCAATTATTATAAATCTTAATTTTTAAAAAGAAAAGTCTTTTAATTATTCATCGACCATTGAAAAAATTATCCATCACATGTAGTGGGTGGTACTCACTCATAGTTGATCAATTAAAGAAAATCATTTCTTACAACTAATTCTCCCTAAGCAATTTGGAGCGAATGAAATTTCATTTCATTAAATTATTATTTTGTTATGCCAGCAAATCATTCTGAGTAAGATTATTATTTTTTCCATCAAAGCGGCGAGAAAAAAGAAAAATTTCATTCGATTTATTAATCGGTGATATTTCTCAGAGAAAAGAAAGATGTAATAATGAATGGATCGTTGCATTGATTGATGTAAATGAAATTGCGAAAAGTCGTCGTAATTCTTACTAAAAAAGGGGTATATACGATTGATATAAATGAAGTTGCGAACAATCGTCGTAATTCTTATGTTAAAAAAAAAGGTATATAACTTTGTGTTTTGAATGTCCGACAATTTTGATCAATTTACTTCTAAATAGGCATTTGTCGGATATTTTTTATGCTTTAATGAAAAATACATTCACTTTTCACTCACATTTATTTCACACAGAAATTAAAATTCTGAAATGAACAAAAATTTAAAAGTCAAATAAAAAAGAGAAATTCCAATTTATTTCGTTCTCAGAAGAAATCGATAAAAGTAATTCTAAACGTTCATTTTAATTCTATTGTAAAACGAGAAAAATTATAAAAAGCATTAGTAAAAGGAATTTGAAGCTATCATTTTGAAATATTTAAATGTTAGGAAGGGAAAGATAAAGAATTATAGGAAGAAATATCTGTCAATATGGAAAAAGAAAAAAAGAAGTTTCATTTTACTAATATTTTTTTTATGAAAAGAAAAGGAAATGCAAAGAATGAAAGGTTTGAAATGAAAATGAAACGATGAATAATCGATCAATCAATCAATCAATCAGTGATTCAAATATTTTTATCATTCATCATAGACATAACGGGATGATTCTGATAACAATGTCATTATCTGTTATTCTTAGACAAATGAAAACAAAAAAAATTTCTTTTTTCAAGCAAAACTAAAAAATTTAATGATAACAGCACTAAAATATTATGATCCATTTAACTGATCGTTATATCAGTATTCTATTAAGAACTGACTGATACAACAAATAGATCAAGAAAAATATAACAGGAAATATAATTACAAATGATAATTGATAAATATTATTGAAGGAATTAATTAACTATTCTTGATCTTAAATGAGATTCATCAAATAATTACCGTCGAAAGTTGTGAGTTATGCTTTCATTATTAATCTTACATTACATTCTTCCAGTATATGAGACATTTCCAAATAATTTGACAGTTTCCTACCGCACATTTAAAGAGACAATTAATGATAGACAAAGCAATAAATTATAGTAAGGTTTTAAATTGTGTGATAAACAAATACTCAAATAATAAAATTGAAAATTGCCTTATGATCAAAGTGAATCATTCTGTTTAGTTGGATTAAAATGACAAAGAAATTGTGAAAATTGAAAAATTATTAAAACATTAAGCTTCCCACATTCAATTAGATACTAAATGCTTCGGATTGCTCAGAGATATTCGCTTTACAATCGCTTATATCATATTGAAGTTATATTAATAAGCAGAAATAACTGCTGTAGCAATTGGATAAAAATCAACGAATCTCTTAGAACTTCATCCCATAGCTCCTTCAACAGCCACTGATTATCAAAATGGTTGTAATTTAATAAATTACTTGATTTCATTAAGCATTAAAATGCAAAATACAAATATAACTTTAATATCTAATAGTTAGCATTTGTATATTTCTGATAAATTCAAATAAATACTTTGACAAATATTTTTAGCGCCTACGATATAATATATTAAATTGTTGCAAAATGGTAAGCTTCGCATAACAGAAATGATAAGAAGAAAGTGAATAGATTGTAGCATTTCAATAATAGCAAACAAAAAATGAACATTAAAATTATTAGTGACAGAAGATCGGAAGGGAATATTATTAAATTAACTAAAAAAGAAGGAAAAATTGAATTTTATGAATTTTTGGTGGATAGAAGAGTTGAAAAAATTATTGAATTTATACCTTGAAATCATATTTTTTAGGGGGAAAATATTGGAAAAAGAAGTGTAACATAAAATACAGAAAGAACTAACTTTAATTTTCCATTACAGTTCACCAATAAATAATGTAAAATGTTTTGTGTATGATGTAGATGAAAAGTAATTAGTTAATATCAATTATTTTAACAGGTGTAAATTGTAAAGCTTCAAAAATTCAACTAAATTCACCAACTAATGCTATTTCAAGCATCTGAACAAATAGAGAATTGAAAATGTTAAAATGATATATTTATTTATCAAAGACAGAATTAATACTTTACATGAAAATAAATATTGTACAATTTTGTCAAATTAAAAAGTAATTAAGTATGAATGATATTAATGTACCATACAAAATATGAAATGAATGATATAACTGATCAAAACTATTGATGGAATGAATAAAAGGAGATGAAATACAATATCAAATAGTGGCAATAATAATTATCAACAAAATAGAAGAATTTACTTTTTACTTTTATTTAGTTCAAAATCTGATTGAAATTATCAAATGGAAGCAATAAGATAATTAAATATGCTATAAATAATGCGTATATTTAAAAAGAGAATTAAGAATAAAACTCAATGAGATTAGTCGAAAAAATCAATTTTGATGATATTGTAGATGATGTAAACGTATGAACAAATGAAATTAATAGTTAACATTATAAATTAAATTCAATTTAATTAAAAAAAGAGGGTTAAAATATTTACCATTTGTGATGATACTTCAGATGGGATTCTTAATGATTGTGGTAGTGGTGGCGGTGGTGGTGGTGGTTCTGATGGTGGACTTGACATTCCTGAAATAAACTTTAATTTCACATCATATGAAACAACTAAAATTTCTTTTCAAATTATATTTACTATTTTAATTTTTGGAAAAACAACTTTAACTTAAGTGATTTTAACAATTGCATAAGATAATAAACATTAATATGAAGGAAATGCTATGTGAAACACATTGCTAATTTCATAATATTTATATCAAATTAAACAGATAACTAAATGTAACTTGAAGTAATGAGAAAACAAACAAATGAAACACTTCACAACTCTTCCACAATTTCAACAATATTTTCTTTCATATTTCACTCAAATTATAAATTACTATTTCTCATCTCTCATTGAAAAGTATTCTAAGATTTACAAAACAAATAAACGAAAGAATGCGCCTATCTGTCATCTTAAGAAATTCCATCTTCCTCCTCTATCCATATTGCAAACAATTTACCTTTTCCCTCTTATGATGAAATTAATTAGTTCTTCTTATAAAAGTGTCTCACAAAATAAATAGAACTTTCTTCCTAATTTTGACCTTCTAAAACTTTCATATCAGGAAAATCATATAACACAAATGCGCTGCTTTATTTCTTCAAAATAGTATCATCTTGGGGATGGGGAACAGTTTTAATTTTGGGAATGTTTTAGAAATCACTTGTATTTGCCGAACTTATTTGCTTTTTTTATTCCAACTTTGTTTGGGTCATATAACTATTCCAAGGAGTACCATAATAAAAATCCATTCTTTTTCACTTTTCCAGTCTTAAATGTATGCTAAATAAGTTGAGATTGCAAATAAACTGAAATTGCATATTGAAGTAATTGAAGATGTAAAAATGCATTGGAATTTAATTTAATTATCATATCATAATAGCTATAATTGATAATAAAATTATCAATGTCTACGAGCAGATTACAATTCTTACTAATTTCTTATCACAATTATTGATTTCTTACTACCATCACAAATCAATCCAAAATCAAAATGGTCCAATGAAGTATTTACTCATCAAATAAAATGAGAATTTAAGCATGATTTTTGAAACGAATATCCTTTTGTTGGATTTAGCGAGTCAAATATGATAACAATAACTCACATATATTTGTAAATAAGTGAAGGGTGTGGACACACTGGACAAATTACATGCGAATCCTTACAATGATCAAAGGATGCTGAGAAAAATATGTGGAAAAATGAGATTCCATTGGCGCTAAGCAATTGATACGATCAGCAGGAGGTTGAGAGTGAAGAGGATAGGAAAGTGTTGGTAATGGTTAAAAGAACCAGCCTGAGCGTGTGATATAGCGTTTTATTGTCGTTGATGCTGCTGATGTTTGCCGATAATAATCGCTTCTACCACTAACGTCGTTATCGTTGTCGTTGTCACCGTCATTGTCACCACCCTTACCATTACCATCTTCTTGCCCAATACGTCCTCGACCTGTTTTTCTCCCTTCTTCAATACAATTTTATATCCGTAAAAAGCGAAAAGCTTATTCAACTTAGATCAAGTATGTTTTATCAATTCATTCAATACTGAGATAGATTTAGGCTTTTCTTATAAATCTAACATAATCGACTTGGGATAATTTTAGCTACAAAAAGATAAATTAAAATTCGAAAATTTATAACGAAAGAAATGCCAAGGGCAATCATCAATCAGAACAGGTAATTCGAACAGGTAATTAGTTGGATTGAGAGACATCTTTTTTGGACAAAGAATTATGCTACACACAATCCTGAAAGAAGAATTTAAATTTCTTGTTTATTTTAACAATTCATAAAGTTGGCCTATTTGAAAAATAACCTTTGAGGTCACTCCTTCCAATTCCGTTAAGGCTAAAAGTTATTGCTGATGCTGTTGCAACGTTACTTCTTGCAGATGTGATATCGCTATTTTGTTCACCGTTAGTTAAATCTTCAAGACTAGCAATGGGTGGTGCATTAAATAAAGGAGGTAGACGGGAGGCCATAGCAAGAGAGGATAAGGCTGGTGACACCGGTTGACAATTGTTGTCGGTTGTCGAGGCAACTGCAGTGGCACTGGAAAATATTGTTCGGTTCGTTAACGAATGTCCAGTGTCCTTGGATGTACGAGATGACAATGTAGTAATAATCGGCGGGACATCATCATTCAATTCTCTGCAATTTATAACTTTGGATTCGCTTTAACGCATGCAAAATAACTTAAATTGTGTGGCCAACACTAAGAGTGACAGCTGTCGAAGTTTCGAAATGAAAACTACTAGCTACCGCTATCATTGGTGCTATTATTCCTGTAGATATGAAACGTGAATAAAATCAGAGTAAAATGAAACTGTAGCTTCTATTTTCTCACATATATTATCGTTTTCGATAAGTATGAAATTTTTGACGTTTTTACGTGCCGAATCTCAAAAGTTTCATTAAAAATTCTGAGAAATGTTATTTTTGCAAATTTCTTCTTATCAAATATGAATATTACTGAAATACTTAGAAGACTGACAAATAACCGACAGTTTACCATGGACAGGAAGTAAATTTAACCCAAATAAAAATAATTAAGCAAGTCAAATTAAAACTTGTCAACCAACCCAGTTGCAGCAAGTTGTTCTTCCATGATTGCAGCTTCATCGATCGGATTGGAACAGATCGAGAAATCAAGTATTGAATCACGTGAATGATCGATAGATATGGAAGTTGAATTCAATGAGCATGTTTCTTCACTATAAAAATTTGAAGATTAGATGACAAAAAACACACAAAAAAGATTTTCGGAAATTTATAGTTTCTCTATCAATAAAATGTTATCTGAGCATTCGAAACAATCTAATAAATAACAACATCGCATTGATACTCAACATGTTTTGTTTACAGAGCAACAGTAATTCAACAAAAACTTAAGATTTCAATAATCATTTAAAACAATTCATTTTAATTCAAAACTAATCGTTACATCAACAATTGTCGAAATACTTGGAAAATAATTGAGAGGCATTAAACTTCAAGAATGTTCATTTGAATTAAAATGAAAAGTTAACAGAAGATTGGAAACATTCATTCAATCTTTCTTCTTGCTTCTATTATCTAAAAATTATTTGTTGTGAACATCATAGTCTACTTATTTTTTATCACCAAATAATTTTTGTTTAATTTCCGAAAAATAGAGAAAAAAATACATGAAAATATCATTATCATATGGCAGGTCAGCAAACTAATTAAAGAGACTTAAAAATTAAATTAATGTTAATTCTAATCTTTCCCTTAAATCTTTTTTCAGCCTAGAAATCAAACTTTCTTGCGGAAGGGATAGTATGGTTGTAGTTTGCTTTAAATATTTGTTTCTTAATAAGTGTTGATGACAGATTTTGTCAATTAACAAATAATTAAAAAATGAACTCGGAAAAATCATTAAAAAATATTTCTATCGAAAATCTTTGAAAAACTGTACCCTAAAAACAAATAAATTCGATTCAAACACAATTTCATTGCTTACAATCTCAATAGTTTCCATTATTTCATTCTGTTTTGAGTAAAGAAATTCACAATGAAACTGTTTAAATCTAATTGACAACTTTCGTTATAAATTGCGGAAAATACCATTCGAAATGAATTCGAGTCATATAAATAAAAGAAATGAAAAGGTAGGCATTTGAATTTACTCAATGAGTTCTATGAAATCAATTTTAAGTGAAAAGAGTATCTATTCATAAAGGGAATTTAATCGATTACATATAATTAGGCACTATAACTATAATTGAAAAATTAAGTGAAATTAATAATGATGCTAAGATAATGTCTTTAAAATGCAATTTGATAAAGACAGTCAAAAAACATAAAGGAAATTTATGCTTGTTTACAAAAAGGGAAAGTGTATGAAAGACGAAACTTTCTAAATCACTCAATTTAAATTTTTATTTTTTTAAACACTCAACAGATTGTAGAAAATCTTTCGTCCTAAATTTGAATTTTCTAAATCATTCAAATATATACAATTGTTCCAATATTCAGAATCAAAAATTGAGAAAGTTGCTGTAAATGCTAAAATATTCCTTTCATTCGGCTTCAATAAAAGATTAGAATTAAAAATTACAAAAACGAAAAAAGAAATTCTATCAAAAATCATTCATAAGAATTTAGCTTGTTATTGTTGAAAGCGTATCGATCATTAAGTTTAAATTCTGATTTACGAAAAAGCAACTGTGAATTCCAGCTTCAAACAAACTAATTTACTACTTCTCCTTATATAATTAAAATCATTCAAAGGTGAAATTTCGAAATATTTCATCCTAATGAGAGCACAATTGTCGTAAATAGAAACGAACTAAGATTTTAAACCTTAAATTTGTATTCTCTCGGGGATGAAAAATATGCAATGAAAGAATGGACGTGATGAAGGTGGACAACATGGAAGGATTACTGCAAACGATGATCTAATGAAGGTTTTATCGCGCGCTTTTGCAGATTTCTCAAATGAATTATTTAACCAGGGAGAAATATTTCCGGTTGATTTGGTGACGAATTGCATAAATCCGAAAAGTATTAGTAAGAATTATATTTCGGTCAATAGCTACACATTTCGTTTCTCCAATTATCAAAACAATTTTTCTCGTAAAAATCTAAATAAAATTTATATTGATAAAGCTTCATATTAATGAAACAAAACATGGCTTCATTCTTTATAAAATAATGATAACCGGAAGATCCATAATTCTCTACCTGATTTGAAAAAGAATTTCAAATATTGTTTACGATTTGAGCGTGAAAATTTTGTACTTTTTTATAATTGTCATTTAAATAAATCATTCGGCATTAAAATACATAAATGTTTAATAGTAATATTCATCCAACGTTGTACCGAAGCATAACTTATCTTAAGCGCATAGAACTATAAACTACAAAGTTGGCAATTTGCTAAAATTTTAGTTTTCTAATTTAATCATTTTTGTTGAAACTATGTATGAATTAATTTCTCTACAAAACAATATCAATTCATATTTTACTTTTGCTAAAGAAAGGAAAGAAATAAAAGCTAAACTATGTTTAAAAGTTTTGAAAAATATTTAAGGATTAAAAATAAAAATAAAAATGCAAAAAAAATGATGAAAAATATTAGTGAAATATCATTTCTGAAATTTAATTTAATTCAATGATAATAAAAATTTCATTGAATTAAAAACTATAAAATAAAACAATTAAAATTTTTACCAATGCTAATATTATATGCAAAAGAAATGAGAAAAATAGTATCGCGAGAATTCGCAAGAATTGGGATGAGTGGGAATGAATTAATGCAAAATGAATTTTCCTTCAAAATTTTCAACTATTATCCATTAGAAGCAAATAGTATTACTTTTCTTCCTATGCCTAGCAATATCTTTGATGCAAATTTTGGAGATACTATGAGAGAATAAAAGAAACTTGGAAAATGTCTAGGCTAGATAGTTCGCATGCACGTTGCATGCACCCTACAAGACTAAAAGGATAAAATTTGGAGATAATTAAATAATCAGCAAACTTACTTCGATATAGTATCCAATAATCCATTACTAACTATCTCACTTTGGTCACGATCCCGAGAGTTTGAATGATCTACCGATGGTGAAGTAGGAGTACAGATATTTGGAAAGATAATATCAGTAGTTCGTTTCATATTATACTCCTCGGTGAAATTGATCAATTTATTCTGAAGAAAAAAGAGTAAGTTAGATATTAATGAATTCTAAGTTTTCTTCTTTTTAATGAAATGCTAATTTTTTTATAACAAATTGAAATTGCTATAAATCGCATTTTTTAAATAAGAAGAAAGGAAAATTTGCGAATGTTTTATTAAAATATATTTTAGTAATGAAGAAAAAAAGAAAATCATTTAAAGGCAAAAAAAATTTTAAAACACTAAAATATTAATTGAATATGAATGATGAAAGTGTAATTCATATTCAATATATTTTAGACAGGTAATAAATCAGGTAATAAATCTTTATCAACCTCTGTGGAGTTTGTTCTAATTCACCTATTGAGATATAAGTAGAAGTAATTCAGATGAAATTTCTTTCAATTTTATTGGACGATAATTGAGATCTCAACTTTCATTAAATATAATGATACTAGACAAAATTCATATTTCATGAGCAAAATTTTCAATCTAAGCTCTCTTGTAAACTTAAATTTATATAAATATTGAAGAGACGGTGGTAATGTTATCCAATGGAGAATCATTCGATATTCAAAACCTTTGAATTAATGATGAATGTATGGATGTATCATAGTATCACATGAATGCTACCGCATGATACAGAGCTATTGCGCCTACAGATAGTGCTTGTGTATTTTTTTGTGGCAGCAAAAGATTTGTGAAATTGATATTACTCTCTAATGCTTCATTTTTTATTCTAATATTCATTTTGTAGCATTAACCGAAATCGTATTAACTAAACAAATACATAAGATAATGTAATTAGTATGGTTTAACCGGAGATATAGTTTAGCTGACGATATAGATTGGACGGATAAAGGAAGCTCTCATTTTTTCTCCTTCTAGTTATCGTTGATAATAGGGAGAGTTGGCAATAAAGAGAAATGATCATGGAAAAGTTACTGGAGATCAAATCTTGATTATAATAATTATTATAAAAGGGAAATGATCATGGAAAAGTTACTGGAGATCAAATCTTGATTATAATAATTATTATAAAAGGAACAGGTAGAATGGATATGAATAATTATAATTTGTATAAAATGAATTAATTTACTACCGTGGAGCACTTTTCAGCACTGTTATTGAGATTATGGCCAATAATGGCAGTATTTGGTGACGTATTATGCAAATTTTCGATATTTATATAACTATTGTTGTCGATATCTTCGGAATCGATCGCCGGTAAATCTTAAATAGAAATGACTGAATGGAATCTGATGAGAACTTTGATGTATGTGTACGTTCGGATTTAAATTATTAAAAACAGAAATTGAACAAATAATAAGTGACTGCAAGGACAATTTATAAGAGATATAACTTTGTCCACTTTTACAAAATGAATAATAGAATTAAAACTATGCTGGATTTAATGTGCTAGGAAAATGATATCCACCTGGAATGTCAAATGTCAGATGTCCAGTTGTGATTGTTGTGACTACTTTTGTTTCTGCTGATAATAATGGTAGTGAAGGTGAAGTTTTATTCCAAATTTCTTTTGACTGCGGTAGTGGTGATGGTAATAATTTTAGCGATGAAAATGGTGGGGGTGGCGGTGGTATTGTAGGATGTGGTACCGTTAACACAGTCTTAGATATTGGTTGATGTAAAATTGTTGGATGTGATGATGAATCAGTCAAAATGAGCTGATCCGAAGAGAAGAGTTTAGAATTGGGATTTTGATTGAGATTAACCAAATATGAATTTGAAGGCTGGTCGCAGTTAATCAGATCTGGAGTATGATCAGTAGCAATAGTACCAAGTGAAATAGACTGGTCAAAATTTGATGATGCTGGTCGGATACCAGTTCCTGAGCCAAACAAAGTATTAGGTATAGCAGTTGAAGCTGATGATGGTGAACTACTCCACTGACTACCGCACAATTCGTCGTTCTCTTCCTGTAAATATCAAATTATAACTAATAAAAAGACAGAGAAATAAAGGTCACAGGTCACCAAGGTTACATTGAGATTATTAATGGGGTGATGTCCTCCATCCCTACTTTCTCCTGAAAATATCTCGGCCTTCACACCATTATACCATACTCTTTCATAACATACAACACAATGTATTACAAATAATTGTAAACTACTTTTCTGAAAAGAAAGGTAAACAACAGAGTTGAATTCTTTTTTTTGTTTACTGTTCAACTAGAATTAGTAGAAGATCAAGTAGTAAAACTAAAGGAGTCTATTGATTTATGACGTGATATCATAAATTCATTTAAGATTCAAGTTTTTAATTAGATTAGATCTGTAAAAAAAGTTAAAAAAATCTGGCTTATTACCAAATTAAAAGAAATTTTCAAAATTTTTTGATTTCGAAAAAAGCTGTCTGACAAATTAGAACAAAATTTTTACGCTATTAGAATTGAGGAAATTAAAATTAAAATTTTGATAGCAAATTCAAAAGGACAGAGCAATCATTGGAGCAACTTTTGCTTTCATCTGGTTTACCCTCTAAACTGTATTCAAAGCTACTGATGAATCATCCGTGCAAATATTCTGCCTATTTATCTGAAAATTTCAAATCGAGACATCCGGACGGTAAAAAGAATGGAGAAAGAAAGGCGGGAGGCTAGCGACGAGAAGTGGTGAGATTCAAGGACGTTGCAGGCAGGTGTGATGATTGCTGTCACAAAAAAATTAAAAGTTATGCATCCTATCTTTCTCCTCTTTGATCAACAATTTTTACCGGTTTAGGAAATTTTGAAAATTTCAGCCCATTTTAATTAATAAATTACAGAAATTCCATGCTTACTATTTCAACCGATTTGCAGATTTCAACTTTCAAAGTATCAATATCAGAAGAAAAAGATTGTAGCAACGCAGAAAAGCATCAATTTCAAGTGAATTCTTTAATACTCCGAATAAATCCGCAATAATTGGTTGGCGTATATTAGCGAAAAAAAAAAAGAAAACTTTTACTTACAGCATGAAATTATGCCTACCATAAGAATTGCAACATTTGGTGATAAATGACTTTAAGCTTATTACTAATTAACTATGCTATAGTATATAATTCTGTCAATTGATATCACCGCAGTTATGAAATAAGAAAATCATCCACCTTCGTAAGAAATCATTGTTTACGAAAAGCAGAAAAGTTTCGCTATAATTTCGCGCAGTGTAAACAAACTAGATCACTCCCATCATAGCATCAAACGATTGTAGTAACAATCGATGAATGTTAAAAATTTGAATTTTATAAGATTTAAAGAGTGAAAGAAAAGAAAGAAAAAAACTTTTCTTTTGTTGCAGAAAAAAACGAGTAATTTCATTAATTAATTGAAGATAGACGGGTACGCAAAATAAAAAAGTTTCTGAATTTAAAGTTTTACAAATTTACTGATAATTGATTACTAATATGATAATAATACGACAATCATTCCTTTCAATGAGAAACATGATGAAGGGCAATTAAGAAAATTGATCAGTAAGTAGCTAAATAGATATCCGTGTACTCCCAGGTATTATTGTTTATGTATTATTATTTATTGTTTATGTCAACAATATTTAGCCATTAAATGTTGTTAACCTTTGAATGCTTTACGATGGCAGATGTCAGCTAGAATGTTCACTATACACCTGCATCTTTCTATTATGTTTACTAGCTGTAAGCTTCACAATATTTCTCAATAATTCATCTATCAAATGCATTACAAAATGTTTGTAATGGAATAATTAAATTTACAATTAAATACCTAAGCGTACGTTTTATTGGAAGGATTTGGGAAAAAGTGAAATTTGACTGAATTAGCTAAATGTATTAAAAAATTAGCTTAGTATAGCAAACTTGAATCCATTTCAAGTAATAAGTAATATTAAATAATAAATTCAGTTAAAAGTGGGTCATTGAAAAATAAATAAATAAAAATAACTTTTTTGCCGAAAAAATTATTCTCAAAAAATCAACAATTAATTTAAACGTTCCAGCTAAATAGAAAAATGATTAATGATCGGTAATCTGAGAATATGAAGACATTATATTGAATAATATTTCTCTTTTTGAAATGCATTTTAATAGCAACAAGGAGTGGAGCGTGCTACAATATCTTCAAGTGCTTCTAATGCAATCGAATATATTTATCATTTGATATGATTTTACTTTTAATCATCCGTATCATTCTAAAACTCAGTTTCATAAAAAGCTAAAATTTTATTGTTTCAATAAAATTAAATCTCAAAAATTAAACCAACTTCAAGTTCCGGTATAGCAAGAAGATAGCGTTCCATGTTATGGTAGGTATTATTACTATATTCAATATGTGGCTGAATGGAGGAACATTGCGGAACGAATGATGATTCTGTTAAAAAGTGTTGCTGATTTCCAGTTGTAGCAGTAAGAGGAAGTCGATCGTCCGAGATGCTATCCGTCGATAGCAGTGCCTTAAGCGATTCTATTGATGATGGTTCCATGGCAGTAGTAGCAAGTGATGTTGCACTAGCGCTTATACCATCAATATTTTTTATCGATGAACTGTTATCATGCCGATTCAGGCCCAGCGATATTTCATCTCTTTCATCTTCTCCATTTGAAAGAAGCAAGCGCCATGCGAATAGTAATGCCTGAAAGTTGCTAATGCAATGAATTTATTCTTAATTTCACATATGTATTGGAAAGTATCTCACAGGCGCTATTAGAACGTTAATCTTTCAAAGCTTTTATTTTTATATTTTTCTCTTTGAAGATAAAAAAAGCAATAAGAAAAAACCTATCGAACTTCTAAACTTCAAATAAACAACTAAATTAGAATGGTTTTAAAATCTTTCGAAATGGGAATTTTTAGTGAGACATACAAAAGCTATTATTATTATTATTAATTATTGTTTATTATTTTAACCTGCTAATTATTTCTATTATTAAACTTTTGAAGTAAAATATAATTGATATGATATATTTTGCATGAATTACTTTGTTGAAAATAAAAAAGAATTCTCGAAAATCAAACTGTTAGGAAATAATGATAAAATATAAATGGATTGAATGACGGCAAGATGAAATATTGTGCTTTTTTCATTCATAATATTTTCATTTCGTTAAAACAAATAGTCTAAGCTACTAAATTGTTGTCAATTTCATATTTTCTCAAATAGTACAATTTTTTTCTGCAAAAAGAAAACAGATAATGAAACAAACATTTATAGATTAAATAGACGGATAATATCCACGGATCCATGAATTAGAAATTCTCATTGTTGTGAATTTAAATTATTAATGAAATACTGAAAAGAAAGGACGCTGTCGACAAAGGCGTAATATTTTTTTTCTTTCTCTCTTTACTCGAATAATGATTGATATTAAAATAAAAGGTATACTTCTATAGGTTGTATATTATGTCACACTAATTATGACTTCATTATTAATTGGCAACAATTCTATCTCATGCAATTATGCTCCAAAAATCAATTGTAGACAATAATTTTAAATTTGAGGAAAATTGAATTAATCTCTCTTAATTTGGAAATAATTGCCAATTAAAGATTTAATGCTTTTCATATTTATTCTAATCACTATCATGGGACTTTTAATTTGCTTTCTTCAAATAATGAAGTTCAATTTTCGTAAATGCATGGACGGAATATGCGACTGGAAAAGTTTAAACAACTGTGAGAGAAATTTTGAAAATTCCAAATTTAAGTTTTATTTGAAGATTTATGGAAAACTATTTGCTTTATTTCTAAGCCTTATTATTTTAAGCTCACTTTTTTCTTTTTGAGCAAAATGAATAAAAAGAAATGATTGAAACGGATAACGGATCAAAAAAATTTATAATAAATGCGATAAATTTCAATAATTTGAAATGATCAATTTCTTCGTATCACAGACACTATTGTATTTGTGATATGAGAAGAGAAAAGAAGAGAAGAGAGTTTCACATTGGTAATAATAAAAGAAGAGCTGTCACCATGAAAGAATAAATTTTATATCAAAAAAGAAGAAAAATGAACGCTAATAAAATGTCTGAAAATTTTCATAAATATGAAATGTTTGCGAACTTTTTTTTTGAAATGGTACCATTGCACTTCAGTTATTTGTTTCCTTTTCCTACCACCTTATAAAAGATCGCAAAGTGTTACAACAATAAAGAAAAGGTCAAAGAAAAATGGATATGAGGGAGAAAGAGAAGGTTTTACTAATTGCCATTTTTATATTTCATCTATTTAGATTAATTGGATGAGAATTTTTTTCCATGAAATTTTTAGAATATAAATGAAGAAATTTTTGAAACAAATTGCAGCGGCGAAATCTAAAAGTTTCATTAAAGAAATTTCTAATTATTAAAATTTCATTAAAATTAAAGTTTTTTCAATTTATCATTATTGAAATCAAAAATTCTTTTTAAATTTTCTAAAGTTTGAATTATTGCGATAGCGCTAAAAACTGGAATAAAAATGAAATTTTCAAAATATCAATTTTGTGTAAAATAATTAACACTCCTACCAATAATATTAAAAAACTCTTATCATTCCTATCAATAATATTAAAAAACTCTTATCACTCCTATCAATATTATTCAAATATTCCTGTCACTCTTATCAATAATATTCAAAAACTCTTATCACTTCTATCAATTTTATTCAAAATTATCAATAGTAAAAACAAAATTTGAGTTTTTGAGGATTTTTTAATTATTAGAAATGAGATCGAATGCATTTTTATTATTTTTTTACAATGTTCCGTTATCAGTAACATCAATGCTGCTAATATTGCTAATCTTATCATTTCCAATATCATTATCATTTTCGTCGTTTCCTTTTTTGGCGCTTCTTATATTTCATTAAAGCTTCCATACGTTACAAAACTTTCTAATCAGTTTATCACTGCTATTATTTTTTGCTTTAACTTCTTGCTTTATCATTGTAACGAGAGAAAAGAAGGGAAAACAGAACATTTTGTTAACTTATCAAAAAAGATTATTTTTGTAAATAATAGAAGCTAGCACTCAGTGATAAGATAAGTTAAAAATTCAATGCCCAAATTTAGAAAACCCGAAAAAATGCCATCATCTCATTATGCAATAATAATGAAAATCGATTGAAATTCGAATTCACAAATTTATTGAAATGGAATAGACAGTGATGAAAATAGAGACTGTAAATAATTTCATTGAAATAAAAGGATGGGAAATCAGGTATAATCTTCAGAGCATTTCAGATATGATTCGATGTAAAAAATTTTAGTGTGAACTTATCAGTTGTATTGAAAGGGACTTCATGCACACACACACACACACACACACACACACACACACACACACACATACACACACACGAATACACATATTCGATGAGAGATGAGATGAAGAAACTGGAAATTTACTCCCATGTCATTAATTTTAAGACTAATTGTGATTTATTTGTGTCGTTGAAAATGCACAGAAATGAAGAAAAGAGAAACAATTGTTGGGCAGGAAATTGCGGGAATTTCTTAATTATTCTTAATTTTGCTGAACAAAATTCTCTACAATTGCTTTTTTCAATTCCTTAAACAAAGGTAAAATATTGCAGTAATTCTATGTCATATTTGTTTAATAGCTTACAATCAGATGTAATTGACAGTTACAGGACTTACCATATTGTTTACAGTTCACAGAACTATTCTTCCGTCCAAGTTAATATTCTAACCTGGTCGGTTGTCCACAATTCTGATCATGGAGATCTCAATTTAAAGCAAAAGCTCAAGTCGTTTTCTTTTTTGATAACTTTTCTCAAAAATTTCCATTCAGTAGGAATGAAGCCTAAACAGGCCTTCGATAACTAATCTAATCTTTCAATAGTTTATAGCTACATCTACCGGATAAGGTTTGGTAACATGTTAGACGAGATATATTGCATAGAGATTTGAAATAAGCGATTTCATTTATTTTCGCTAAGAAGAAAATGATTCAAAAACATACATAATTAATAGCTAGGACTTGAAAAAACTAAATAAATCAATAAAATAATTGAAAACATTTTTCCGGATTAATTTTACTATCAGATCACATTTTATGAAGAAAATGATGAAAACATGTGCTTCCTTCTTTTTAAATGTAGAAATTTCATATTCAGTTTAGATTTTATCGCAAATTAACAACTGTCAAAATGATTGTTTATTCATATTAATGGAATTAAAAGAATTGAAAATTGATTCGTATTTTTGAATATTTCCAAAGCTCTTTCGGTATGTCTTCCTCATGATAATGAAAACCGATGTTTTAAATGCTAATAAAAGAGTTCCGTTAAGTAATTAAATAGGTAAAAACATGAGAAAAAAGCGTCACCTGTCAAGAAATAATTTTATATGCCAAAGTTGCATTTGTAATATAAACTTCAGACTAAAATAAAAATTTGATGAGAAAATCGATATCATTCAATTTTTAGTACTGTTTGAAATTGGTAGAAAAGAGTAGGAGATGAATATGATGAATATTGCAATCGTTTTCGAAAAAATGAATGGCGGCATAAAGGTCATTATTTCCCTTTATGAAATTGAATGCAACGATGAACGTTTTTGGTGTCATCAAATTTTTTAAAGAAGAAAAATTAGGTGATAGTTTTTTCTGCACTTCGATTTACACCATTTTTCATCAATGATCGGCATTGCATTCGGCGTTGCCTGACCACAGTATCCTGATCAACTATAAACGGGATCAAAGGATTTTCTTTTTGGATCCAATTTCTTATCTTTTACATATTATGTACAATTTCGTTTAGTTTCATATTTTCTCTCCATTCTTCGTCTTCCTATCAAAAAAATTTCGAACTCGATTACTTTATCTATAATTTCAATAGTTTCAAAAACACATATCGAAGTCTGCTGGAAATGTCAGTGAAACTTGCACAACTCAAAAACATTTGTGCTTTCGGTTGGCAACTCAATTGTGAATGATGGAAAACTCAAAGGAGACTGACGTGGTTGACGTGGAATGACGTATGATTGAAGAAGGCTAAGGTTGTCAAATGCTCTTGAATTAACTGTATTGTTCACGAAATTAAAAAATTTTTGCAGTTGATCTTACTTTAAAGATAATAAAGGAATCGTAGGTTTTGCTGGAACTGACAAGAAAGTATTTTGAATTTCGTCGGCTTCGAACGAAGAAAAAAGTCAAAGGCCATACTGAAAAAAGACAAAACGTCACGGGTTGAAAGTTGATGATTGAAGCACTAATGAGCATATGATTAAAGAAGCTAAAGTTGGGTGGTCGAAGACAGGGAGTTAAAACTCATAGACAAAGTCGAAAGGTCAAAGGTTGAAAGTTGAAATATTTTGAACTTCGATGATTTTTCGAATTGTTTTTACTGTGTAAAAATTAATTTCGTGCAATTGCCGAAAAAGTCGATGGTGAATGGTCAGAATCCAAAGATTGACTATCACAAAGGTGAGAAGTTGGAGCGATTAGTGACCCGAAGGGTCAAATGATCAAAAAAGTTAAAAAATTGAAGATTGGGAAAATCAAAAAATAAAGATCAAAATTTCAAAATCAAAAGATGAAAGTTTGAAAGATAAAGAGTTTTTTCTTGTCTAAATTAGCTCTCTCTACTTATTTAAAAAATAACAAAGTTGTGCTTCGACAACACAAATTCATTCATTCACTCATTTATATTTCAAACAGTTTCCCTGGCTCATCAATGTGCCATCAAAGATTTTCAAAATTCTGTCGGGAAAATCAAAGAACGACCAAAAGCGATTAGTGATCGGAAAGGTTAGCAATTCAAAAGGTTAAAAAGGTCAAGTTGATTATGTCATGGTGCTGCATATTTTTAGCAGATTGTAAATTGCAGTTATAGCCATATTTGAAATATTACTGTTCCTTAATAAGTTGTTGAATTCCCGAATATTAATAACTGAATTAAAAAATTTAGGCCCAACATCAATAGAGGAATGATGTAAGAATTTAGTAAACACCAACTTCCACTTCTGTCTTATGAACTTATTCTTACAGCTATAGCATTTATGGCTTCAAATTTGTAAAGAAAGTTTAGCATAAACTATCTTCGAAAAATTTGAACTAACGGTAAAAGCAGCGAGGATAACAGCGATAAAGTTTTTGAAAGGTTTTTGGACTGTTGATGATGATAATTGCTCTGAAAAATGATGAAATAAAATATATCGATTTTAAAATTATCATTTCAAACGTAAAATCTTAAATAAAATTTTTTTGTCAAATTTTAATATATTCCAAATTTCACGGATATGTTCCTAAAGATAAGTTTGGATGAATATATTATGTTTATTATATCATATCTGCAATAACATCTAAATTAGGTGTCATTAAAGAAAAAATTTATTTTTTGAGACTGTATTGCAAATGTATGAATTGTTGGATTCTGAATTCTAATCTTCAAACATTGATAACCTTTCATAGTCTTTTTGATAGTCATTATTACCAATTTGGAGAAATAATTTGTAAAATGGATGTACATCGAATGATTTCAAGTACTTAAGCTCAAAATGCAAGCAGAAATAGGGTGGGCAGTTTTACTAACCTGAATTTGAGCTCGAATTTGTTGTAATCGGTAGTTCTGTAATGGAAGAAAATCGTTGTTGTCGCTGAATGATGCTACTTGTAAGCACAAGTGGTCTTTTCGATGTTGACATAATATAGATCGATCTAGCTTACTTAAGCTTAAACTGAATTACTAAAACTTCAAACCTTTTCAATGCGTTGTGTTGTTTGTTTGACACAGTCTGATATAGAGACATCATAGAGTTGAAAATATCAGATCAAGCTCTACTAGACTGCAACTGCGCTCATAATTTTAATTGAAAGATAGATAGAAGATTTGCTTGGAATAAAAAATAAGAAACACTCAAATAAATATGACATTCATGAAAAACGATCGGGTGAATAATAACAAGTAACTTCGCTTTTATTTCAAATTTCGCTTAATTTTAAAAAAAAATTAAAAGCTTTAATCAAATTAAATGATATCATTGAAATTATAAATAGCATTGCTAGAAGTATTATCTCAATATAATGAATGAAAATTTTCCATCTGTCATCAATGAATATAATCTTATTAGAATTATGAACTACAAAAGATAACATTAAAGATTAGTACAAACAGAAGATAAATTTACATCAATTAGATCTCCTAAGCAATAATTCAAATTTTGTTAATTTTTTAATTTTCGAAATTTTTAATGAAAAGAAAAAATTTTTCGGAAGGTCACTTCATTTAATACAATTTCGAACATTGCCATTTGTCAGAAATCACTCTGAGCAATATCATCGAGAAATATTGCAGAGTTCAATTTAATTCAACGTCAAATGTCATGATGCCATATCCATTTGAATTTATGGTTCATTTTAGTAGATGGGTGCATGCATGCATGCATGCATATTCATGTCATGTATACACTATACAAATGTCTAATTGAATGTTTCCAAGCTTCTATATTGCAAATGCTGTCTGCTATCGGTATGTGCGCGAATATATACGAGAGATACTGTTCAACCCAGAGACAACCTTGAATCAATGAAGTGAGTCGAGCGCTATATTTAAACGATACGTTTTATTGTCCTAATTGCATTAGTGATCTCATCTTCATCTGTTCCAAATAAAATTAAAACTTTTATACATTTTTCAAAAGCGGTTCAATTGATATTATTAAAGACAGAGTTATTTTTTGACTGTCTTTTGTGAGTTTAAGATTAGATCACATATAGCTATAATGAGGTACCTGTACATAGATGATTTTATGTAAAAATAAAATTAATGGAAATCAAAAAATATTGATTTCATTACTAATAGTCTAATAGCACTCTGTAATATCTAGGAATTCAGATTACTTTTTCTTTTAAATTTTTATAAATTTTTGCTTCAAATTTTATAAATATCAAAAAAAGGGTAAAAGATTAACAACAGTTTTAAGTAGTTAGATTTATTATGCATATCAAAATCTAGCTTTCGCAAGTTCAAGCCATACTAAATCAATTATATTATTGCCTTACCACTTATCATTCCTGGTACTACTTCTGGCACTTTCTCTACTATTATTTACCCTACATTGGCATAAGGTATCGATATTTGCAATATTAACACAAAATCTTAAATTCTGATCTATCCGAATAAGAGTGAGAATTTAATATTACCTGAGTATTACAATTGTCACTCGAAACAATCGCTATGCACATCAGAAGAGATATCAGAAATCATGAATCTGCTAATGTGATATTTCCAATATAAAGGATAAATTCTTTTTAGTTTAACTGGATGAAAGTATCAGCCAGCCAATATAAATATTTGTTCACTTTATGACAGCTTTGTATATAGAAAGGAGAAAAGATAAAAAGAAATAGAACACTACTAATACGATTAGAATATAATTACTTTATTCAAAAATTGAAAATTTGACGCTTTAATTAAGATTCTTTTCTAGAAGGAAATTTTAGAAATTATATTGTCAATTGTTCTAACTTAATTATTATGAAATTTAAAATGAATTTACAATGAGATTTTTCATTCAAAGTATTATCAAATCATTACAAAACTTCTCCAAAATACCTGTTCTAACTAAAATCTTACATTCTTTACGTATTAGATATCTTCCAAGGAATAATAGTTTAAGCGTTTTCTTGAAAATACGGATTCAGATTATTTTAGATGTTTATATGCTTATGACTGTTTCCAACAGAATTTCCTCATGGAATTTTTTTCTTTATTGTTCAAATAATGAAATTGATCCTGCTTCAAACAATATTTAATATGCTTTAAATGTTATCCTGAATAATGACCCCTTGATAATAGAATTAATTAAATGATCATCTCTACGAATTATGATTTAGTTTTATTGGTCACCTTTTGTCATAGTTCAGCTCTTTTTTCCCCAAGACTTTATGAATAATTCTAGCTAAAAGAGATGCCACGAGAAACTTCAACTTAATATTTATAATGTGAAGTATTAAAAACTGCTGATTCAATAGAGCTAAAAATACGATATTTAACAAAGCTTTGACAGGCTTTAATATTTAATTAAAAGACATTTTGCACGAAATATGTAGAGGTATGATACTGGAAATGACTAAAGATAAGCTATCAGTTATATGTCTATTATCATTACCTATAGGAAAGAGTGCTTTTAATATCACCCTCTTGCTTATATCGCAGTTTCTCAACAATTCCTTACACCTCTATGCATTTCGATCACATTGAAACCGGTATGAAACACATATACCGCTAGAAATGTGTCGCGAGCCGCACTGCAACCTGTACAAATTGTCATCCATCTCAGATATGTTCCGTATATATTTTTATTTCTTTTATTTTTATTTTCAAATTATTTTCTTTATTTCTTTCCAGCAATGAATCATAAAGCTTTGTTGAAAGATTTTGAAAGTATTGAGAGGATAGAAAATTTAATATATTTGAATGTTTTTTATGAGTATTCATTTCCATGTTATCAACATCATTACACAAAGAGCTGAAGTATTAGGAATGATGAATTGATGCCAACCGATGAGAAGGAAATGATAAAGACTAGTGATGTGATCATAGTACTACACTTATTGGGCTGCTGTTGGAAATTCGAAGATTAAGGAAGATAGACTGGATAAGAATCTAAGTATGAATAGACTGGTAGGAATGTATGACAAATGTCAAGTATGATTTTGTATCCAATCATAGATATTCGGAATTGATTTTACCTTCTTTCTTTTTTTACAAATATCGATTTAAAAAGAAAGAGTTTGAAGATTGAGATCCCGATACTTTTGTTATCATTGTATTACTGATTACGACAAGATAATTGGTAAATGATAAGAAAATTGTAAGCATAATAAATGTCGTTAGCAGGTCGTTGAATGCTTGAGTCAGGAGATTGTGGCGAAAAAAGAGGAACAGATATTATCGCGATTGATATTGGAACAACAACAATTAAGGCTTGCCTATATGATTCTCATTGCCGGCTCATTAGCTATACCGAAGAATCAGTAAGAGGAAGCTGTATACTCTTTTGAAGTGTAACAATTCTTATTGAAATCTTGAAATATTTGAAGTTGAAATCTTGAAGTTTTTTCTCGTTCTCTGACGTAGTATCTTGTTTGCGGTCGTTTCTAGGATTTTAAGGTTTCAGTTTAAGAAAATAACTGGATTTAATGAGAAAATTTAAGAGCTAAAAAATGGTATAAATGACTGATTAGATTATAACAGCTTTTCATAGTTTCAATATTTCATAGTACAATTTGCCTTAATTTTCGAATATATACATACACGGCATTTTTTTGCCTTACCAATAAGCTAATAAACACATCGATATTTCCAGCACCAACTGACGACGGAAATGCTGTTGTGAATGAATACTATTGGTTTCTTTTATATGATAGTGCATCATTAAGTTTTAATTTCAGATCATTGTCCAATTTAAAGGTGGCAATGAAAATGGTCTTCGCGCAGAGATTGATCCTGATGTTCTTTGGAACCAGTTGGTTACATTAGTTTCTGAACTATGTATGATTTTACTGTTTGCTCGAAGCTAATTATCAAGCGTTCAATGTTATATAACCAAATTTTACCTTCTGTTAGCTAGTTATATCAGTTTGTTAATTATATCATCATCTTATCAGTTATCATTTTCCTTTTTATTGTTTGAGAAAAATGATATATCTAAAAGTAGGAAGCTGATTTTACATTCCAATAATGTACATTGAATTACATCTATCCTTAACAATGAATAGATGCTCAACAGAATAGTCATCGATGAAATATATAAGCTTTTAGGTTTATGAAATAAATATAACAATCATGAGGAGGAGAAGAGAGAGTGTTTTTCAAATAGCGTTATAAAAAGTATTTGATTGCAGTAGCTAAGACAAAACGTGATGCACGGACAATAATCGGTATGGGAATTAGCTGCCAAAGGAATACATTCATTAGTTGGAATAAGTAAGTTGTCATCTTATATATAGTAATTTCACTTTTTAGTGATAAGTTTATTCCCAAGGCATATTTTTATATTTTTCAGAGAAAGTGGAAAGCCATGTCATCGACTAATTACTTGGAAAGATTGTCGTGCACGAGAGGAATGTAAGAAGTGGAACAATTCGTGGTCTTTAAAAGTATTTATCATTTTTTTTATACTAAGCTTTTTTGTTTTAAACATTCTGGATTGAAATGAACTATGTAAATGGATTTATTAAGTTGTGTAGTGCTGAAAATTTACAGGCTATAAATTTGATTGGTTATGTTTTACACAAGCTGACACGATCTGCGAGATTTATGGCTGCCCGAATGTTCTCCTTTTTAAATGCGATGGTGACTCATCGTTTTTTAGTTACTCTTGCTGAAGTTAGTAAATTTCATATAGGATGTTTCATAAATTTTCGTGTCATTAATGTAGTAATTAGTGTTATAATTGTTCCTAAATTCTTTGGAATGAAGAAATGCAGCGATTGCTGAAAGAAAAAAAACTGAGCTTCGGTTGTCTCGACACTTGGTTGATATATAAACTTTCTGGTGGCGTCGTTTGTGTCAGCGAACCTTCTAACGCAAGCAGTACAGGATTGTTCGATCCTTACACGGTGCGTAATTTTCTTTCTGTTGATTTTATAGCGCATCTCTACTTACTTGTCTTGATTTCATTAATTTTGTTTTTTTAATTTAACTGTATAACACAAAATCTGCATTACGACAAATTACTGATCACATGAAGTATTTCATCTGTAGCGACGCAAAATATGTAGAGGAAGCTTAAAGGAACAAAAAAAATTTCAAATGACCCGTCCTTTCTTCATTATATTGCTAGCATAAAGGACAATTGAGAATGAGCCAACTTGTTTCAAGTGTTGGAAATAATAAAAATAATTTTACTAACAATTATAATAGATTAATCCTTCAGATGGAGTGGGGCTGTAGCTTATTGCAATTCATTTCCTTTCCTATATCGGTTCTTCCACGTCTCACATTTTCTGCTGGAGTGAGACTTGCTGTTACCGATAAAAAGTTATTTGGTGCTCCGATTATCATAGCTGCTGCAGTAAGTATCCTTGTGTTTGCCTGACTCCTGTAGCTTTCATTATTTGTCGTTGTTCTTTTTTAGAAAATTGATTTTCTATGTTTATGTTCACTGATCACTTTTTGTGATACAGCATGATCTTTTCTAATGCCTACTTTAACGCTATTCATTATCTATAATAATATCTAATATTTACATGAATAATGAACCAATTCTTTCGTAAAATTAGAAGTCACAATTATTCTTAAATTCTGCCAAACACAGGGATTTATTCAAAGGCAATTAAGACAAGTTTTTTTTTAAACTAAAAACTGCGTTTTCATTTTTAAATGTTATCATTATAGCATTATTCGGTATGTTCCGAATTTAAATTGTTTAAAAATGAATCCTAGGAATGTATATTTTATGCAAGGCAGGTGATCAGCAAAGTGCCCTATTCGCTTGTGGTTGTTGGATGGAAAATGATGCTATATTTTCACTTGGTACTGGATCCTTTGTAGACATCAATACTGGCTCGTCACCTCATTCTTCTGTTAAAGGTGCTTTATTTTTTATCATTTTTTTATCTCATTTCTTTTTTTACTTTTTTAATATATAAAATTAATTGCTAGATATTAAGGTTTATATCCTTTGGTCGGATGGAACTTTCCGAATTCGTTGAAATTTGTTGCGGAAGGATGCTCCCAAGATACAGCAGTAATTCTGCGTTGGGCGGAATCCATTGGTTTATTTGAAGATGTTACAGCTACTTCACAAATGGCTCAAAGTTGCTCGATTTCTGGTGCAAAATTTGGTTTTCTTTTTACTAAGAAGTGATGACACTGTTTAGGAAAATATCATTCAGCCATCTCATTTATCTGCATTTGATATGAATTGCAGTGTTAGAGTAAAATTGATGGCCATTAGCTATTTAAACATATACGAACTAGACATTAATGCTGTAATTGATATTTTCAATATTTGTTTTCGATAGGCTGCAGGTTTTTATTTTCGTTATTAATCTTACTGCTATTCCGAGCTTTTATCTTTTTAAATTTCTGTTTTGCTAGTGAACTACCAGTCGCAGTATAATACAAAATTAGTGAAAGCGGAGATAAAAAGCATTGTTAGACTCAAGTAGCATCGGTTTATTCACAGGCCTCTACTTCATTCCGGCGTTCTTTGGTATTCAGACTCCATTAAATGACGATACCGCTTGTTGTGGTTTCTTAGGTATCCGTCCAGACACTACTAAGGAACAGATGGTTCGTGCAATGCTTGAGTCTATCGCATTTCGAATCTACCAGATATGGAGAACGGTTATTGACGAAATTGGCACTTCCTCCACAGGATTTGTTAGGCATGTTTTTTCTTTCACCATACATAATTGTCCAACTTCTCAATTTTTCCAATTTTTCAGTTTTCGAAATGCCTTGCTGAATTATCCTGCTGTTGCTATTTCCAGTTCATTCCTTAGATTTGATATCAGTTAAACTGTTCTTCATATATCTATTGAAAATATAGTTTTTTAAAGTTGAGTAATTGGCCGTTGTTTTACAGATGCTGTGGTGGCGTATCGATGAATGACTTTATCTGCCAGACAATTAGTACTCTTACCAAACTTCCGTTACAAAGAATCAATGGTCCAAACTTTGCGTCCGCGCGTGGTGTTGCTATGATGGCAGGAATCACGTGTGGTTTGTGGAAGAAGGATGATTTGAATGATCTGATTAACATTGAAAAGATTTTTGTCCCAGAGCTATCCGTTTGCAAGAAATTACTGCAGGATTTTGAAAAGTGGGAAACAGCCATGCAGAGATGTCTCCATTTCTACGATGCTTAACATCGGCCACGTAACTACCATTATTTCATCCATGAATCTAAAAGCAGCTTTCGTTTAGTTCGAAAATTAGGAGTTTAAATTTGACAGTTTTAATTGCTCAATATTCATCTACACACTGTTTATTAATAAAGTATTATTTACATTGATTTCACAACTGAATTTTACTAGTTCATTAATTGATCTCCATTTTAAAGTGTATCAACATTTAATAGGGAAAGATATAATTTGAAATGTAGAATGCCCTTTCACATTGTCTGAAATGAGAAAGGTACTCAGTCCAGTAGTCAAAAACTGTTGTAAATTTTGTTTGGTTTGGAGAGTTTTGTTTTTGCACAGTCGAATATTTGGTGAAGGTTAATTTTTTTTTTAGAAGAAGTTTCTTCTTGGATTTTGTAGAAAAAATGTGGGTGATTTACCGATAAGAGTCGGTCATATTGGGGATTTCTCAATTCGTTAATCAGAGAGGGATTGCGCGGCGGTTTCTCAATTCGTTGATCAGAGAGGAATTTTCGTGGACATAGTAGTGTAGAATAATACCGAAATATATCGAAACAGTTTTTATTCATTAGTATAATAAAATAAGAAAAGTGAAGTCGAAGAGGTGATACCTGACATTTTTCCTTTCCTTTTATATAACTCTGGTTTACAACATACATTTTGATAAAATCTTATTGGATATAAGAATAGATATGTGAACATACAATAAAGAAAGGCTGTCTAAAGGAAGGTCGGATAGTAGCATAATGATTGGCATAACTGGTAATCGGACCAGAACATTTGCATATGAATTTTTGTAATTTAACCATTAAAGATAGACATGCGGATCAAAAAAGTATGAGAAATTATTTAAATGATTTATTACATTAGGCATTATAAATTTATAAATTACAATTTATGGATGAGTCATTTAAGTGAGAGATATTTCTACAACACAAATTATTTTTATTATTTATACATATTTATTATAAGTTATTTTGAGTTTCGCGGCAGTCACTACTTAAAAATGGTTCGGTGTAAGTAAAAGAATAAGGTGTAAGTAAAAGAATAAAAATTGATATTTTTCACGATCTCAAGTTTATTATTAATTTGCGATCCCACTTATACTGCTGACAATATTATCGCCGTGACCGGAAAAAATACCTATCATTGGAAAGGAGAAACCTGTATAGTCCATCCTGTTGATGATTAATGATATTTTTTACTGTTGCGCTGGGTTGTTCATTTCCACGATCTAATGAAACTTGAAAAAATGTTGACCACTTTTAAAATGTCAGAATTCTCCTCTTCCAGGCAAAATCTACTGGAGAGTTTCTACTCTTTATACTTTTAATGGAAGTTAAAGCAAAATGTTTTTTTCTTTTACATTCATTATTGTCTACTGTTTTGGCCCTTATGAGCTTTCAAAGTGAAACATTGTGCCGAACTTGTTAAGTTTATATTAATTGCACTGTTGCCATAATGTTTTGTTTATATTTATTGCACTGCTGCCATAATGTTGGTTTAGCAAAAAATCTCTCCAGTCTACGTTAAGTTTTTCCTCTATCTTAATTGATTAGTTTTATTTTGCCCTAATAAATCAACTGCTATACTAATCCGGAAATATTCATTATCCTTTTTTCGATCAAATGTATTCATAAATCTGTTTAACTGTTTTGTCAATGCGTCGCATGAACAAATCATTCCGCCAACTGAATTATTACTTTAACATTGATATTATATAATTGCAACTTTAATACCTATTGATTGCTTAACACTTCATCTATTAGTTTGAGAAAGAAGAAAATGAAATTTAAATAGAAATTATTGTTATTAAGCAAACTTCATAAAAACATATCACTCATTACTTCTTATCTACTCAAAGTTTTGATATGATCAAATTTCATCCATCGTCTATCATTCGGGTCAACTTCTCCACTATAATTCCGTTTTGCCATCATTCGTAATTCTCGATATGATGCATATAACTGTAATTTTTCTCTTTCATCTACAATTGTATATACTTTGGCAATAATATATAATGTGCAACTTTTATGAAATAATTTACATTCGATAAAAATTTAGAAATTATTTCAGAAAAGCAACAATTTCACTTTCGATCCATTTACGACAAATTTATATTATTTCTTTAAAAAGGAAAAGAATTAGTCAATTACGGCAAGATAAGCTTTGCAGAATTGAGGATTATTCCAGCAATACTCTTCATAATTCTTTTCTAATTCATCTTTCAACAATTGCAATGTCATTTCATATTGTAAAATGGTTTCTGAATAAGGAATTAAATATCTTCATATGTTTAAAATAATATTTAGAGTTATTTAAAAATGATTTTTTAAAACAATATTTGGGTGTTTTTAATATTTGCACATTTGTTTATATGTATGGTTTATCTCTTAATGTCTTCTTATTTTCACTTTGAGAAATAATTAAATGTTTACTGTAATATTCATAAAGTTGAGGATCGATAATTTTTTTGAAAACAATATAAATAATGCAGAAAATCAATGTAATCATAACAATAGGACCAGGATATTTGAAAATTACATCAGATAATTTCTGAAGCAAAGATTCAAACCATTTTGGAAATATTTGCATCGAAAATCCAAATTCCATTTTGCAAAAATTTCTCTCTGGAATAATATCCATAGTTTACTTTAAATAGTATCTAAAATGGGAATTGTTATTTGGAGGCTAAAGTTCAAATCACATTTAGGATTATTTTAGTATAAAATAACTATCACACATAAAAAACTACTGTTTACTTTCACCTATAAGATATTATTTAACCAGGAGAAATGAAACCGTCACACACAAATACGAATTTTATATATGAAATTTGCAAAATGTTTTCTTTTAAATAAATTACATATATGCAAAATGTATTGTAAACAATTTCAAATTCTTTGAATATTTGAATATAATTATTAATTCAATTTAGGTCATATGAATAAGCCGAAGTGTGAGCTTTTAAAAATGAGAAGAAATATTAAAGTTATTTTATAAATATTCAATATTCAATATTCAAATGTAAATTGCAAATTCTTGAATTACTTTTGTTTTTCGTCATCTGTTTAATCATAGTTTGATTTTAATTTAATAAAATGATATTTGACTGTGTCAGAAATAGAATACGAAGATATTAATTAACTAATTAATGTCTGTAAACATTCAAATAAATTACTTTTCTCTTTTATGAAATTGCTTGATTTTTATCTGAAACTATTACTAACAATGTATATAATATTACTAATAATTCTTTTTTCAAATATTTTCATAATCAATGAAAATTAAATGTATTTAAAATTTAAAATCTAACTAATTATTATAAAAAGCAACGTCATTTTAAGTTATTTAATAATTAGTTGAATGATTTATACGGTTATATTATCATCATCCTTATCAATGTATCACCATATTCTGACAGATGAAAATATGCCATGATATATAAGAAACAAAGATGGAAATTTGATTTATTTTACTTTATTACCAGCGGTATACTTCAATGCTTATATAATATAAAAAACGAAAATATTTGCTAAACAAGGTTATTTAAAAAATGATAAATGTATAAATAAATCTGTTAGCTTTCATTTACATAAACCATAAATAAACGTTGCTTTTTAGCTAATCTTTCTTTGATCTAATCGATCTTTCTTTGGTTAATTCAACCTAATCAATCTAACTTTAATAAAATCTCTATCAATTCCTTTCATCTTTTCGATTCTTAAATTCTTAAAAGCTATAAATTAAAATAAAGCATAATTAAAAATTTATATTCTGAATTGAAATAATTTGCAAAACTGATTGTTTTAGCAAATATTTATTTCTTTTATAAAAATTTTCTCTACAAAAAACAAAAAATTTGCAGTAAAAAAGTAAATATTTTACTTTAATTCAACAAAAGCTTGTTCTTTCTCTATCAACGTTAACCTTACAGTCGAATAATTAAATACATTTACGGTCCTTGTTAGTGTTATATAGTTTAGTCGAAATTCACAAATTCGAATAAATTTTATTGGAATTCAAAACAATAAACAAAAGAGAAACATTGATTATTACGAACTTCTATCCTACAAACATTCATAACAAACATTGTTATGATCGTTTGTAGGATAGAAGATTGCATTACATTAAAATTTCCAAATTAAATCAGAATCTAGAAAATAACATCTCCAGATAAATTATGAGTATGTTTTGCTTTTTAATTCAAAAAGAAATGTGTATTTTGAATAATTTGCTTGATTTCAATTAAACTGAACTATTGACAGTCGAAAGAATTCATCAACACTCCCTCACATCTAATTTCAGTTTTTTCATTTTTTAATTTGTTCATCTTGCATAAGAAATAGTTTATCTGTCTTTTCTTTTTTTTGCAACACATAAAAGCTGCGCAATGTTTCATTCTGCAAATTATTTGCAACACTGTTAACTTGCATCGTGCACAATACATTAAAAAAAGGAATGCATGCATGCAGCATGAATTTCTATTATCCTTTAATTATGTTTAACATTGATGTTATCTAATTGTGACTGTAATTTCTTTGGCATGAAAATATTGCGTTCGATTATTTATTAAACAAAATTGAATATCACATATGCATGCATAAAAGTATGAAGTAGTAAAAAATCGGGAGTAAAATTTCATTCATTATCGACCCAGAGACAAACTGGAAATATCCCGTCTATAAGTGCTGCCACTTTTTCACCCCTAGTGAGAAAACTACAGCAACATAGAATAACAGTGATATAATGTTTTGGCATCACTATAGGCACGCATTTGATAAATACAAAAAAATCAGTGTTGCTAGCGAAAACGCTAAAACGAAATTTTTGCAAAGAGAGGTTATCAAACTCATTAGGCCCAAGCTTATATCTGCAGAAGAAATCATATGTCCGAAATGGATTTGTGCTATGAGATGAGGTTTGAAAGTGAGCGTAACCAAAACATAGGAAACGGACATTTTAATCTCATCAATAGAGGGAAGATATGTTGCCCAAATTCTACAACAGGACAATATCTTAGTTGTCATGAAAAAACAAGAAAGAAAATTATAGAATTACTAGAATAAACGACCCGTATGCAATCAACTTTGTGAGAGACAAATAAATTAATCCAAGTAGGAGAGAACAACAAATAAGAAAGATCTAACCAAAGTGAAATTGGAATGAAAATGGCCCACCATTTTCGCCAAATGGGAATCCACCCTGGAAGGGATGATGGGAACCTCCTTGCTGCTGTTCCGGATCCAACGGATCCTCTCCATGGTCAAACTGCGCCCTTTTTTCTGGATCAGTAAGGACCTGAAATTACGCATTTGATTTTAGAGACATCACTATGCATTCGATTTCAGAGATATTGTAAGATGCTTAATAAGGCCTGAGATAGCACTAAGATCCTTTTTAGTCCCAGAAGACCCAAAACAAACCTCTTTTGCTGCTGCAATGTCAACAAAATTCTTCTCCGCTATTTTCTTTTGGTTTTCGTCACTGAAATTATCTGGATGCCATTCTTGTGCTTTCTTCCGGTACGCTTTGAGAATATCCCTTTTGTTTGCATTTCTAAATAAATTTCTCGGAATTTTGATTAATTAATTCTGACGCAATATGCCACTTCTCACTATAACCAAATATAACTTTGAAATTTTTAAATTTCGGTGCAGCTCTTACTACCTTGAGTTCTTCCAGCAGTGTAAGCAAAATCACCAAGTTATCACAGGACAAATGAAATTTTGTTTGAAATTACAAGGATTTTGAAAATTCAGTTTTTCAGTAGTCAGGAACCATCATCTCGCCCCTCTACGAGAGAAAAAAGATCGCAGAAAACTTAAAAAATACTTTACCTTCTGATTCCAAGGATTTTGTAGTAGTCTCTTCTTGCAATTTGTTTTTTCAGTTTCTGCGCTCTATGAAGGCCTTCCCTGGCTCGTCGAGATTCCTCATGCCCACTCACTGCTTTTTGGTAATCCTCAATCGCTGAAAAAATAATTTTACGCGTCTTATTGCAGTTCTTAACTCGCGCCTGTCCAAAAAACATAATGATACATAATTTTGCATATTCTTCGAACAAACCTTCATCATACTTCTCATGCATTAAAAACGCCTCGGCCCTATCGCAAAGTACATCGAGATCATTCGGATCACCGTATTTAAGCACTTCTGAACAAGCAGCTATTGATTCAGCAAAGTGTCCAGCCTAAACACAAGATTTTGAAAAGCTTGTCAATATAAGTCATTAAGAACGCGAAAAGCTTTCCCGAATAATAAACCTACATTTTCATTTACACACTTTGAGGCCCTCTACATCACATGTCACCCAAATATAGCAACTCTAAATATCAGACTGAAAGTTAACCGAGAAGACAGCTTTCGCGGAAAATCGAAAAAAGGGTTGCCAAAAACTGCCAAATACCATCTGAATTCCGCTATTATATAGAGTTACTTTCACTAGCTTTACACGTGAAAGTAATTTTAGAGAATCTAATCATTAAAAAAGGAAGTCATATCTTTTATAGATTGCAATTCATTTTCAAAATTATAAGAAAAAACTTCACCAAAATTCTATAAGAAATAGATTCTGCGAACGGTACACTATCCCTATCTCTTATAGAACAAGAAGCTAAATTTTCAATGTAAAATAATAGGCAGAAACTAGAAGTTATGTTTTAAGCGGTCAAAAGAGTCAATCGTGCTGGAGCGACAATATCACAGAAAGTAACGATATCTAATGGAGAGTTAATTCTTTTCTTTTATGACTTCTTCGAAACTAACTTTTAAATGAAAAGATTGAAGCTCTAAGAATCTAGCCTAATCAATTAAGAGCACCGAGATATCTTACATTTAGATTGCATTTGCATGTTTGTCTGTAAACATCTAGTTGTATATTCTCCACTTTTTTTTCAACTTTCAAAATTTCCGTTGCTTTGTCCAAACAATCCATCCACCTCTCTTCTCTCACTAGTTGATTGAGTGATTCACGCATTTTCGCCAATTTCTTCGTTTTTTTATAAAAAGGAAAACATAGTTTATCATCCGGATTCAACTTCAGACATTCTCGTATTTGACTGAAACAGCACTTTATTCGGCATATGCTGCATTTTTGCTAACTTGGTATCTTTTAAACCTTAAATACTATTTTTACTTCCCGTACGGTATTTTCATCGTAAGGGTATTGCATTAATCCATTACTTCTTTTGCTCTGCAGCAACAATTGATTGTAAGTAGAAATAAAAAAAGACGAAAGAATGTAAATCACATTACGCTTTTCAAGAAAAGAATTAAAGGAATAAAATAACATTTTTGACAGTGTCATTAGCTTTTAATCCGCACCGCGGTTTCTCCTCGCAGTATAACAAGTAAAATATGAAATTTTGAAACATGAAATTTGAAATTTTGAAACATGAAATTTACCAAAAAATACATACTTCAACGATTCTTCTACATCACCCGTTAAATAATAAAGCTGTGAAACTTTGTAGAATATCTCCGTATTATCCGGCAATAACCTCGTGACAGTTCTATAATCTGCAATTGCTTTCTGCACATTTCCAAGTTTTTCTCGGCATTTTGCACGATTTTTGTACAAATTCGCATGCCATTGGCAAACCTGAATTTTTTGAATCTCAGGACTGAATCGTAATACATAAAACAGCAATCATTACTAATTGAAGCTTAAACATTCTGTTTTTCTAGTATCCAATCTGAGAGCCATTCTATTTTTTTATTGCATAAAATAAATCAAGCGCATAAATTTTCTTGTGCACGTTATCCAAAGTATCTCCAATAAAAATTGATCAGATAGCAAAACTGAACACGGCTAAACTAAGACCCTAACTTGCCATATTTTTCATGATTTTTGGTTAAACTGTCAACGATCACTCAAAAAATGTACGGTTTCAAAAGAATGATTGCCAGTTTTAATAGAGTCCACGCTATGCGACTATATCAACGTTATTATCGCGCTCGCCTAACAACTGAATCAATAAAATGTTACAACTTTTTCTAAAAGTATTATAATTGGTGCGCATGTGTCTATCATACAATTTCACAGTGCACTGAAATGTAAATATTTCTTTTACAGATAAATTATGACAGTTAAATTGATTTAAAGTCCAAATATTAAGTTCAAACTTAAACGCTCCCGCAGCAACTAATAACAAATAAGTGAAAGGCTCGAAAGCAAAATAAAGAAAATCTTACTTCTATAGCACTACTGTAAAGCGATTCTGCAGAAACGAAATCATCGACATCAAAACGATCATCAGCTTCCTCAATGATTTGCCTCACTTTCTCAGCTGATATCAATTTCTTGGATACATCTACATTTGACGGATCTGCCTTTGCCTATAAGAATGGAGCATGTTTATTAAGAGATAAAACATGCTCTTTTGTATCTTATTTGAAATTTCTGAATTAGGATTATATCCCAGATTGCAAAGTTGTCTGCGAAATGAGCTAAAGTCTTACAGCAGCCTCAAAATCGGCCTTTGCTTGATGTATATCGCCTTGTTTCAACAGCACATTGCCTCTTTCGATACGAGCCTTCAATAAAAGTTTATTTAATAAGAACTATGTACACCAGTTGAAAGTTTAGCTGATTTAAAATTCGGGCAATAGTTCTGAATGTCTAGAAATAAGATTTTGTCATACTTACAGCAATAAAATCTGGCTTCAACCTAATCACTGAATCCAGGTCAGGTAGCGCCGCTTTGGATTTACCAATAGCAAGGTACACTGTCGCACGACTATATAAAGTCTGATAATTTTTCGGATCTAAATCTGCAATGTACAGAGAACGTAAGATCTTTTACATGAGATTTTAAAGCAAGTTATTGTAAATTAACTAATGACATAACAATTAAGCATAGAAATAATGTAAAATAGAAATCTAAGTAATGATACGACACAAGTAATCACGTAAAAACAAACCGATAGCGGCATGATAATGAGTTAAAGCATCGGCAAATTGACCTCTGGACAGAAACTGTCTTCCCATTTCCATATGTCTATTGACTTCCATTTGGCTACAGTTAACCACTGAAAAACAAGTTTTCTTGCACTCCGAAAAGTATTCAAATTTCACTATTAAAAGTTTAAGCATGATATTATGAGTGATACCTCGGAATATGAACATCATGGAAATCCATATCAGATCAGTTTGCCAACGAATAAAATCCCAGCTAGTCAATACTCCCGTATACCTGTCTTCTGTCCAGTGTAAAGGCATTACGATCTATACACATATAAAAATTAGTGCACATATCTCAAGTTCTATCGAGAGGTATTGAAATTTAAATACAAAAAATAATTTGGAATCTCATATGATGTTTTACAAGAAAATAAGTTTTTATGCTATTTCATATCAATAACTCTTTCAAAACTTCAGTAATGCCACAGAAGATTTTATTAAAAAATGAGTGGCAAATTTAAAAATTTCTTTCGTTTGATAAGAACATAAGAAAGGGCAGTTTAAATAAATGGAATAACAATTCCCCACACGACACAGTCATTTGACAACCACCTCAACAGCTACTCTAATAAAAAATTCAACTGTCTAATCTCGATTTGAAGTCAGTTCTTCAGCAAAAGTAAACTTAACAACCCTAACCAGTCTAGGCCAGTTTATCGAAGCCAAAAAAAACCACTAACCGTACCATCCCCTTTCAAAATGCTATGTATGTTACCAACTAAGCAACGTCATTCTATCGAGTACCGTAGGCAATGCATCTTTGCAGGACAGATTATTAAATAGTTCTTCTATTCCGAAGGAAAGGATCGAGTGATGGTGACATACGGTAGTCTTCGTGATCACTTATCTTACAGTGGACAGAATAACTATTGATGAGTTCAAAATTGATGAGTTTGAATGAAGAACATAGTTCAAAAGTTAGGGTATCCCCGCTATGATCGTTGTTGGCGTTACGCCAGGTTTTAGATATGAAATTACGATTGCCATTGCCGTCGTCGCTTGCTTCACATATTTACGTGGATGTAATTGCCTTTGACGATAGTACATAATCCAAAATAGACCTCAGTTTAGCAGGACTAAAATATTTAGAGTGGACATCTTCAAGGATTAAAATATTTAGAGTGGACATCTTCATCTATCCATATCCTTTTCACAGATCCAATATCCTCCACCGTTAGGCAATGTACTCTATGCTTTCGATTTTAAATACGGTGAATCACCGTTGAAGCTTTAAGCTGTCTCGTAAAGCATCGTATTCGTACCGGGTGACCGCGTTAGCCTAATTTATGTGCAGGATATTGATCAGAGAGTTGTATTTAATAGAACAATTAGATTGATAATGGTTACCCAATCTTATCTTTCTGGGCCATGATCTGTCTGATCGCCTTAATACAATATTAATCCATTTAAATAACTGACAGCTTACATTTTTATTGCCGTTGACTTCGAAAAAAATGAGGAGAATTTGAAATGTTCATTAATTTAAGACCTGTTTATCTCTTTGTGTGCCGTATTTAATTCATGTGAAAAATTTCATGTTGCTTGGTGGCTGTATTAATTAATTTGTGAATTTAACTGGATTTAAACTTCGAGTAGTAATTCAGTGACATTTGATCTATTTCACAGCGTTTCTAGCTTCAGATCATGGATTTTCAAAATCGTGCAGGTGGAAAAACTGGAGGCGGTGGAGTAGCATCCTGGTCTGACGCAAATGTCGACCGACGCGAAAGATTACGTCAGCTAGCGTTAGAAACAATCGATCTGCAAAAGGATCCATATTTTATGAAAAATCATCTGGGTGGCTATGAATGTAAACTGTGCTTGACGTTACACAACAATGAGGGTGAGCTATAATTGTAGACTTTACACAGAATATATGATTATGGATATATTCATGAAAAAACCCAGTCAAACCAATTACAATGAAAAATAGATAACTTACTTTACTTCAGCTTGTTGCTCTATTGATATCTAAATGTTCAGCTTATAGTAAGTAATTCCGTCCATCCAGATATTAGCTTCCTTGCTTTTCAATATTCAATTGCTTTTGTAGACGTTATAGTTTTTAAACGAATTGGTAAAATTCGCGATTTCTTGTTTTAACCTTAGCAGGAGATACTTTTAAGGATTTTAATTGAATATTACCAAGCTCTTTTGTGGTCATGACGGTTCGATGAGTCCTGACAGTAGCCTTAGTTGCGGCATAGATTTTAATAGAAAGAGCTGAAAATTATCTTCCTCGATTTCGATCTTTCAATATATCCAAAAAATTTTAGGCTCCTACTTAGCACATACACAAGGCAAGAAGCATCAGTCGAATTTGGCTCGACGTGCTGCAAAAGAAGCAACTGATCAGCCCTACATGCCTTTACCACAACAGGTCAAAGTAGAACCAAAAAAATTTGTCAAAATTGGCAGGCCTGGTTATAAGGTGTGTTATTTGCATTTTTATGAAAGTCTTTATTGCAGCAAAAGTTAAGTGTCTTTTTTTCCATTTTCTAGGTAACAAAAGAACGAGACCCAGCAACGGGACAGCAGGCTTTGCTGTTCCAAATAGATTATCCTGAAATCGCTGAAGGTGTCACTCCTAGACATCGGTAGGTCTTCACACAGTTTTTTATTAGTAAATAGATTCTTCTCATGCTTAACGCACAGCTGTTCTTAATATATGAGAAATTTATTTTTAAAACATACAGGTTTATGTCTGCTTACGAACAAAAGGTGCAGCCACCTGATAAACGATGGCAGTACATTCTTTTTGCTGCTGAACCATACGAGACGATTGCTTTCAAGATACCATCGAGAGAAGTAGATAAAACGGAAGACAAGTTTTGGACTTTGTGGAATAAAGATACCAAACAGGTAAGGTTGTTGAATTATTTAATAAACTTTTTTCATAAAAATATGTAGATGCTCTTTTAATGTGATGGTGATCCAGTTATCACTGGCTATCGAAATTCTATGAAGATCTTGAACGATTGAAATCGTTTAACTGGATCTTTATTTGGAATAACTGCATCAGTTTGAAGCCAGTAGAATTTGACATGTACAATAGAATTATAGTAGTATATATTGCTTGCTGATAGAGTTTTCTTTTATTTGGTAGGCTCATAAACAGATATGTTTGTAGTTAATACTTGTACTCTTCACCAAAAAATTATTAACAAATGAAAACCGCAATCTTTTATAGAAAATGTGGGAAGGAAAAAAGAGCAACAAAAGATGTATAATAGTGAAAAGTAATAGGACATGATGCAAAATGACTGAAATCCATCTTCTCATTGTTAACTAAAGTCATCCGATGCTCGATACATCTTGGTCTTTCATTTAAGTCGTTTCAATTGTTTAGTAGTATAACTACAACCTTTTGCAGTTTTTTATGCAGTTCGCATTTCGATTCGATCGCATGTCTCAGCACGACGAACCTCCCCCTCCTCCCCCGCCTGCAGCTACTGCAATGATACGACCATCACCAGTGCCGCCACCTATGTTTCTACCTCCACCTTTTTAAGTGTTACATTCTGCATTATTTTGTTAAAGCTCTTGTTTGTACAGAACAGAATAATTTTTCGGTGTTCTATTCATTCTTGAGGATTGAGAGAATACAAGTGATCATGCGAGCTGTTTTGCATAACGAATTGAATTTATCTTAAGAACATTTAATGTTTGTTTTCATTAAAGAAAGGAAAGGAAGGGCATATGTGAAACCAAAAGCCGTTTACTATTTTTTTTCTTTTCGTTTACTCTTTTATTTGGGTAACTGGAATAATTTTGATTTTTTCCAAAACTTCTGTCAACCATGCAATTTAGCAGAAATGCAAATTTTCTTGTTCGAAATAAAATTTACTATGGATGCTATTGGATGTGTTATATAGCTCAGTTTTCTTCATTTCTGTATTATATCATGTTAAGATCGTTTTTGAAAAGATAGGATGCTCTTTGGACGAATAATTTAACAAAGGTCCTATGGCTACATGTCACTTAGGAGGTGAAAGAGAAACAATATTTTTGCATAAGATTCCTACTCTAGGAGCACTCCTTATCTGTCATGCTGTTTACCAGATCTATAATTCAGCCCCTTCACATATCAGTTGGACAATGATCACATTATCTCTTGTAGGATGGGTTTCTGAAATATCTGACAAACATGACATCCATTACCACTTCTACGATAGGGACAAACTATGCTCATTACCGTGCCGTGGATCCGGCTGGTTTTCAGGAGGTGATCATTAGTACTGACGTGTCAGTATCTATTTTCACTGGGAAGTATGAGCCAGGTGTGGGGAATTGATGAATAGTCAACCTTCAACTCAGATATATATGTGTCCGATCAGCTCATCCATCCTCTTTCCTTGAAGTTGGAGAAATTATGATTGTACCGTTTATGTTATACTGAAAAGGAGTTGGAAATTGCTGTCAACAAGTTAGCATGTGTCGTTTTGGAAAGTTGTAAGTCCTCTGGTGAAGGTTTCGGCTCTCGGTTATTTTATCGTCATTTTGTTCGCTCATTATCATGATCGCATGCGCAATAGGGGTGGTACACTAGTAGGCGAAGTGTCGCTTGGTCCAAAGAGCTGCATGTATAATTATTTGGATTGTTTAAGAATACTTATCGCTAGCCTCGTTTTCATTCATCCATCTATTCCCGTCTTCCAACTCAATTCAGAATCTTTAGAATTCTTCAAATACAATCAGGTAGCAAGTGCTAAGTTGTCATTTAATCACATCCTTGCTGTTTCAGGCTTGAAATTCTGTGAAGCTTTGGTGTGATGAGCATGGCATCGATGTTTTCCTTGATGTTCTTCGGTATGGATCAATTTTTTTAATTTTTCATTTCCTCAAAAACTGTTTGGTCGTTTTCAACTGGAATTAAATTACACACTTATTCATTTATTAATCATGTGAGTTTGTAGTCCGGCAACAACACGATTTATATCTAATGTATCATGTTCTTGTCATCATAAAAATATTTAGATTTTTTAAAACCTTTTCCCAAACCGTTCATGAAGATTTAAAGGCCTTGTTTTTCTTTTATAGTTCTTCATTTGCAGCAGTTTGTGTCCCAATCGTCGCGTGTGATCACTACTTCGTCTCAGACAAAGACAAAAGCACATGCATCATTTTGGATTCAAATATCACTAGTGTCCTGCATTACACAAAGGTTTGACTAGTTTTCCGTGTTTTGCTTAAAGCTGACTATCGTTTTTGTGAAAGTTCTAGTTTTATCTTAATTTGACCCTTTTTAACTGAAATTAAAGTTTATATATTTGTATATATTAATCATGTGGACTTATAGTCTGACAATAGCACGGAACAACTTAAATTTAACATCAGTGGACCTGCAAATGGTTCGTGCGAGGGAACACAATCTATTTATATAAGGTTTTTTTTCCAACATTTCTCATGCTGTTGCGATAGCAGTGTATCATTTATTCAAAGAAGGGAATTAACTAAAGTATTTTTGTAGAAAAGATCATAAGCATTATTTGCTTTCATCTGGTCAAGCTAAATTTGTTAATTATATCCAAATTTATCCTAACATCTATTCAAACAAGTCTTATATTATAATACATTCAATTTTATTATTCTGTAATTATTGATTTCTTTGCTTTTTGCGTTTTTTTTTCCTTTTTCTTGCTGTTGTTTTTGTAATAGGAAAAATGCATGGTCTCAAGTTCGTAAAGGAAATCAGTTGTTACATTGCTTCTGTAGAGAAGTCACTGTTGAAATAACTGTTTTGCAGTTTCGATAGTTCTGTTGGTCTGAAGAAGTCAACGTTAGCAATTTATTTCAAAAAGAGAGAGGATTCGTTCCAGATCAGTAACTTCACATTGACAGTGAACTTCGAACAAAAATTGAATGCGACAGGTGTAGTCTCCACGCTGGGCAAAAAGTGTAGGACTAGTTGAGATATTTATGCATTTAAGAAGTTTAAGAGAAGGAAAATCTTGAAGACATTCGGATATGGGGTGAGAGACATCTCATTATATTGAAATATGAATAAAGTTAAATTATAAGCAATTGATGTTTTAAATATTGACTGTTGGTTGAAGAACTTGCACTCTATACATCATGTTTATAGAACCACACTATATCTATCTGATGGATGAGCATGCGGAGCATGACGTAAGCTCCAGCGGCGACGAAGCATACAAGTGTTCTGAAGCAATTCTTAGTTTAAGAAAGGGTTCTACAGTAAATCTCCGCAATATACGGCTCATTGCCTACGCTCATCTCAATACTACGCAGTTTTCCAAAAACCAGGGTACATTTTCTCTGTCAGAAATAAAGCAAATTTTCAGTTTCACCTTATACGACAAACTTACTAATCAAAATGCAAATGTTCTGAAGCAATTCTTAGTTTCTTTAAAGTTGATGTGTTTTCGCCCATCATTTTTAACCAGATCTCTTCAAGAGCACTTGAGAATTCAGAGTAACAGAAGTGTAGATAAGGTGACCGAGTAATCATCAAATTGAATAATTGAATGGATGGTTGCAGAATACGGCGTTTGTCAACTGGATATTCATACCTCCGATCTAGTACCAATCGTTGTTGGAGTATGTCTTGCCGCATTGGTTATCATTGTTTTAATCGCATATTTAGTTGGCCGAGCTCGTGCGAAGCGTCAGGGTTATGCATCAGTGTGAATTTAAAATCTTCCACTTTTATTCATGTATATTATTTGTGGCGAATTGTATTTCTCCATTTAGGCATTGGCCTTCAATTCATTTGTATAAAATTTAACATTCCACCGTTGGAATTCTGTTTACAAATTTTTCTCCATACGAACATACTTTTTTTTTTTAAACTACGAGATGCTCTTGTTTCTCCTCTTTCTTGCAATTCTGGAAAGTATATTTCAATTTCTATATTTGAATTTGAGAAGTTACTACTTTCTAACTATTGTGCTGTTGCCTTATTAATGAAGAATTGAGATTTTAGTTGGATTCAAATTATATTTGTAAAGCCATAACTCTAATACATTCTTCTGCACTGTATGCATGGTCACATAAAGGGACCTCTCTCTACTTATCACTTTAATAATAGCTCAAGCTCTTCTGGTACGAAAAGTAAGCTAAAGTCGGATAAATGCTCGCGATGAAATTATCATAGAGCATATCTTTGTGTTCATTGCTATTTTTTGATATAGAGGTAGGATTAAGTACTGCAGAGATCGAAACACTCCACAGCGCTTATAAAGCAGTAGAGTAGCAATGAACACAAATACTGTTAACAGTGGGAAGAATGAAAAATCATTATGATAAAGAAGTGATTATCTGCAACATTTCTAATCGTAACGCTTACAGATGTATCTTTTGTGCATGTAGGCGGGCGTTGGATATCCATGAGTGTCAGGTATTCCCTCCATATGTCGCAGCGGCAGAGTTCAACTACTGCTGTAGTCTGTTTGAAGTTTGGCATAGTTTCCTGTGAGAATTGTTGGAAATCTTGAAAGTTACGTATTGTATATTTTGCATCATATAAAATATTTTTATAATTTTAGTGTGCGAAGTGTACTATAAGGCAGCTTGAGGAACTATTATTTTTTTTTGATAATCGCTAAAGTGCTTTCGACTTCTGCGTCTTTGGTAATTTTATTTGGATCACAGTTTGTTTAACCGTCATCATCTCCTATCTCTGACACTCGGTATTCTTTAGCATGCAGTTGTCTACCATCAAACCTTTTGCATGTTTGACTAGTTCTGGCATTCAAAAACTGATCTTCATATATTTTTTTTAGCATTGAATATTATGCAAGCTATGGTTCTTTAAGTTTTAAACGGAGATTTGACAACATCTTAAAGTATTGCAAATATCATCAAAAAGATCCAAGCTTGGAGCGATTAAAAAAATCTAGATAAGTTGCAGTATCCCAGTAACTTTTACGACAACTTGCTCCTTCTATAAGTTTTTAAATTTTGATTTCAAAAAAAAAATGGCGCTTAATCAATTTTAAATTTTTTAGATGCTTCCATGCAAGGCACGAGCAGCTAAAACGTTTTTAAGGAAGTATCGATTCTGCTTGTTTCTGGATGTCCTTAAGACCTCAAGAAGTACGCAAATAGACACACATGTTGGTGTGGGTGAACGAGACGTGATCCGTTTTGAAGCTGGACATATAGCCCGGTTAGCCGATGGTGCTGCTGTTGTTTCGCAGGGCGATACTTCAGTAAGTCTTAGTTCCAGAGAAAATTTAGGAATGGAGTGATGCATCGGCCAATGTGTCTTAGATATTAGGGTGATGCTTAATCCTGGAATGTTCCTCAAGTACTGTATGTATACGTTTATGTCGTTATTTCGATATTTTATGAATCATATTTATTGAATAGATGCAATTCACTATCGATTACTATTTTGAATTGTTAGGATTTAAACGCATCTCGTCATCTTCCTTTCATCGCAAATTTTGGTGGCCTAGTATGTTTGCAATGAAATAAATTACTTGGACGGTTCAGGTACTGGCTACTGTGGTCGGAAGACAAAGCTCAACTAATGATACAGCTGATTTTATGCCTCTGACGGTCGATTTTCAACAGAGCGCCTCGGCTGTTGGTCGTATTCCCACAAATTATTTGCGAAGGGAGTTGCAACGAAATGATGCTGATATTCTGGCGTCCAGGATGATTGATCGATCAGTCAGACCGTTGTTTCCAAAAAATTATTCGGGTGAAACTCAGGTAAAGAACTTTTCTTCCCTGAACTTTAATTTATCCGACTTCATTTTACTTTAAATGAGGATATATAGGTACAGTCATATCGTGATTAAACATATTTTCTTTGCTGTAGCAGAATTAAAACATTGGTGTAATGTCCCAGAAATATTATAATTTTCTATTGGCCGATATTATCCTTTTTAGAACTGCATATTTGAAATGTATGTGAGTCATTCATTAGTCATTCATGAAACAGGAAATTATTTAGTTGATATTTCAGATAATATGTAAACCTCTTGCTGTGGACGATGATGGAGATCCGGTAATTCTGGGGCTTAATGCAGCCTCGGCAGCACTAACTTTATCAGATGTGCCGTGGGAAGGGCCACTAGGAGCTGTAAGAGTAGCTCTTATTAATAACGAGGTATCTAACAGTTTTTTCTCTTGGTAGTGATGTGTGTTTGTAGTATTAACTTTTATTATATTGCATAGTAATGACTTTAATTACTGGAAACAAATCTAAAGCGAAGCACTGGTCAGACCGAATTCTGAAAGATTTCAATTATTTCGGAATTGAAGCAATTTTAATTATGTGAAAGTTAATCAAATAACTTCAGATTGTTATTAACCCAAGTCGAAAAGACATGAAAAACTCTTCATTAGATCTAGTTATTGCTGGCTGCGACGATGGGAAGCGAATATTAATGATTGATATGGATGGCAGCGAAATTGGAGCAAGAAAATTTTCTGAGTGTGTCAGAACTGGTCTCCAAAGCATTTCGCACTTAATTCAAGCCATTAATAAAATGAGGGGTTCGTGCGGTCGTCAAAAGCGACAGGTAAACTCATTTTATTAAGGATGTTTTTGCTTGATAGTTGATTTGCTGTATCTTTCGCCGTAGTAGCATCCTTATTTGATATAAGCCCTCTAGTTTTCATTTTTTCATCATTGCACTGATAATCATCTTTTTCCTAAATATTGAAGTCAGTGGACTGAAAGTCTCACAATTTCAGTTCTTCACTTATCATTTCATATTCTTTTTTGGTTTGTTGAAAGGTCACATTGGTTGTACTATTCATAGGGGTCACATTAATTTGTCTTCCGGCATATTCAATATTCGTCTAATAAAAGAAATTACATAGGTGCATGCACATACGTATTTCTATAATTCTCTTTTATCTCTTCCAGTGTTTGTGAGAATTATGTTATAATCATTGGACTTAAGTGCTATTGTATAAGTGAGCGGTGGCCAATAATAGTCTTAATATGATGCAAGTATAAGACATTTTTCTTTTTCTCTCAATTTTATATCTTGAGGACTTTTGCTTTAGAATGTTGATGAAGAAGTTAATATCGATATGATAGCATTAACGGAGGAAATGCAGATCTTATATGGCGATCAGTTATATCACATTTTAACGGATACAAAACATGATAAACTCTCACGAGATCAAGCTATTTCTGCACTTAGTGATCAAATGCTTGAAACGCTGAAAGAAAAGAGCTCTTCGCATAAGCTTCGTCATACCTTTAAGAATCTCATCAAAAAATCATTGAGGTATTTGTCTCAGCTTTGGTAACAAAAATGACCTTATATTTATTTAATTAATTTATTTATTTATGTTTTGAATTGATTTATAAGAACCAACGTAGAGGTTGGAAAACGGACATCACCAGAGCTTTCTTTTCACAAAACTTAATTGAGGAAGCACGCTTTTCCTTCGAGAAGTTATAATTCGCAATGCTAAGTGAAAATTGGATAGGGGAATTTCAAATCGTTATGAAACATTGCTAATAAAGGCTTTTTTACTTAAGAAGCTGTTATATTGAAAAGTTTAGCCTCGTATTTTAGTTTTTATTTTTGAACCGTTCTAAAATAGTACTGCAGGGAAGCGTTTTTCAAAAGTGGAAGACGATGCGATGGACGAAAATTTGATGAACTTCGTCCAGTGGATATTACAATGGATGTTCATAAAAAATTGCACGGCTCGGCATTGTTCCAGCGCGGCCAGACCCAGGTTCATTTTCTGTTTGTGAACGATAGTTTGAATTCACATGCAAAAAAAGAAGCACTATGAGTAGGATTATCTAGAATCTCTCATTATTTTTTTTGATATATGAAGTATGTTCTCATAATTTTTATATGATTAAACACCTGTAAATTTCAGGTGTTTGGTACCGTGACATTTGATGCTCCATCGGCTGCATTTCAGCCAGATGCGCTGTCACAATTACTTGGCGCGCAGCAGAAAAAAATGTTTATGTTGCACTATCAGTTTCCGTCGTTTGCTGCTACTTCTATTTCTTCCTCTGCACGAACCTCACGTAGAGAGCTAGGACATGGCGCTTTAGCCGAGAAAGCTCTAAAGAATCTTATTCCAGAAGACTTCCCTTATTGCTTAAGGCTTGCCTGTGATGTTCGTACAGGTTTTTTCTCTTCCTAAAATTTGTGAAATACGATTCAAACTTTCACTTATTTTTAAAAAATTAGATGATGTAGCAACGATAAAAATATGTAAGAAACTTCTTAAAATCGTAATAATGATCTAACGAGGGATATTAAAGTGATAAATTAGCGATGATGCCATATAGAAGTAGTGATAATTTTAAGCAACTATACACATGTATGTTGCTACAAGTAGTTTTATAATAGCCATTGAGATTTCAGGTCCTTGAATCAAATGGTTCATCTTCGATGGCATCAGTTTGTGCTGGTTCTTTGGCGCTTCTTGATGCGGGAGTACAGATAAAGGAGCCCGCTGCTGGTATAGCTATAGGTTTGATTATTGATGAAGAACGAAGTGATTATTGTATTCTGACGGACATCAATGGTCTGGAAGACTTTGCTGGAGATATGGATTTCAAGGTAGCAGGTAAGTTTTCACTTCAGGAAACCACGACACACTTAGTAATGTTTAAATCCAGAAAAATATCACTCATTCATTGTTTACTTTTCATGTTATTTTTACGTAAAATCATAATTTGCTGTTTCACTGATTTCATGACTTGAAATGGCGATGTCTGTGAAAATTTATTTATCGCTAAACTGAGCTGAAATTGGAACCTTCACAAATTTATATTCACACATTTCTCACTTTAAGGAACAATGCACGGTTATACAGCGATGCAGCTGGATTTGAAAGTTCCAGGCATAAAGCTAGAAATAGTTATGGAATCTTTAGAACGAGCAAGAAATGGACTGGAACATCTTTTGCAGCTAATGAGTAAGGCGCAGCCTCGATGGCGAAATCATTTTAAAAGTACGGTTCCGGTTCATGAGACGATGCCTGTTGCAATCTACAAACGCCACATTATATTTCGTAGTGGAGGCTATAATGCTAAGCTGATCGAATCGGAAACCGGTGCTAAGGTCACTTTGTTTTACAATAGCCAAGGCTCCATTATCCATTAGTAGACCTAAATTGTAATGCCTAAATTTTTCTACTCCATTAATAATGCCTAAATTGTATAAAACCCTTATTTCTTTTGTAATATAATCAGAAGGAATAAAGATTTTATAGTATCCTACATAAAGCAAAATTGATGCCACGATAATCCAGAGGAGTGTTTCACTGGAATAATCAGAACATCATTAAATTAAAATTGTTGTAGATAAGCGTAGAGGATGATACAAACATATCTATCTTCGCACCTAACAAAGTGAAGCTGGAAGAAGCGAAAATGATGCTGAACAAGTAAGTAAAACCTAAATTATGTATATGCAACATTTTTATATATATACCAAAGTTCTTGTCCAATGCAACTAAATACATAGCTTTATTCTTTTTGTTTATCGTAGCAAGATTTATTCATTTGAGTCCGTCCGCTCGTATCCGATTTATATAGAATTGGTGCTTTCCAGAATATTTGAGAATGAAAGCGAAATAGAACTGGTATTTGGTGCGATGTACAAGGCAGAAATAACAGATATATTGGAGCATGGCGTACTGGTAACACTTCACAGAAGCATGAAACCCATTTTATTGAAAAATAGGTTTGTTAATGAATGAAATTATTCTGGAATTGTCTTCGAATCCTTCTAAGGAGCCCGTTGCTTTATATTTTTTATATATTTTAGCCCATCGCTGCTTCATTCCTCTTGTACATTCTTGTAATTTACAAATATCATTCCTCTCTATTTAAAGGCATATCAGAATTTGTGACATCATCAAGTTTGATTAAATCTTTACTTTCTTGCAGTAATTTGGATACGAGGAACGTAGCACATGCCAAGGTACTTGGTTTCAAGATTGGTCAAAAAATAATCGTTCAGTATCTAGGACGAGATCCAAACACTGGGTACCATAGGATATCACGGAAAACGTTGCAATCTGCTTCTTTACCTGTTCAAAATGTGCACCACGATACTTAGTTATCTTTTCATTGAAAGTCTTTAGACTTCGGAATTGTCTGACCATGTAATGAAATGATATTCTGTAAAGATTTACTCTTTGCAGAATATCATTTTATTAAGATCAATAATGACCCTTTCAAGTCTTCAAAAGGAGTGTTCTGGTCGCTCATGACTACAATTTTATTTCTTTGTAATCAGTAACTTCACCAGTATTCTAAAACGAATGATTCACTTCCCTGTTACATTGTTATTTTCTACAGAAGTGCTCATTGTTTTAAAGTGCATTAATTATCGTTTAAATGGTCACGCAAATTTAATCAATAAGGAGATAAATTGCACAAAAAACATTTAGATGAAATTCTTCAAAACTACTGACCAAAATCACTCCAATGTGTTATGGGAAATAAAAGTGTGGGTCCTTGAACAGTCATCTTAAAACTTTCTTCCCTTACAAATTTAAGTGATTAAAACATTTATTGCCAACTAATACATCGAATGCATATTACTAGTTGTATGCAAATTGAATATTACTACGGTCCGGTGATCTCCATTTTGTCCATTAAGATGTATTCTATGTAAGCGGGGCAGTTACTATTGCGGAAGATTTTCTTGGAATTCGTGGCAAATTAAAATGTGTTAGCAGTAAGACAGCATCAGTTGGAGTTGGAATTATTTATTTGACTCAATTCTCAATTTTTTTTTCTCTATTTTGGATGGTTCCAGTTATTTTCACATTTATAAGGATGCGAGTTTTTAGTAGTTACATCCTTTATAAACTGTATTGTAACAAATGAAGGATGAGAAGTAAATGTTCAACTCAATTATCAACTATTATCAATTTAGAACGGTTGACTATATTTTTAATCACATCACTACTGTGAACTCTCTCCCTTTCATGTTATTTATCTAGAAATCACACTATAAACGCTTATCTTGAATTCCAATTTTACATATTTTCTTTACTAACCAATAGGTTTCTTTATCTCCTTTTTCTATTTATTTTTCAAACCAAAACGGTGAATACAACTGTTAGATTTGAACTACCAAGATTTTGTGCAATAATTAAGGTCATTTCAAAGGAACCTAAAAATTCTGAAAGATTAAGTTGAATTCCATAGCTCCAGTATAATTTCAATGCAGATCGGAGAATGGTAAAATTCGAAAAATAAACAGAAATGGCTGAACAATGATAGACGTGAAATCATATTATACTTTTTCCCATTTAACACAATTTTCTGATTGAACGTAGAGGAAGCCTTACTTTCTATTACTCCTCATTGTAAATATCTGATAACTATCAAAATTTTATAATGCATATTGAGATGGAAGAAAAACTGAAATGGAATAAGTTCTACTTCAAATATCACTGCTATATGGTCTGCAGTCATCAGTCCTTTCTTGGCATGTTCATTCCTGTTCAGATGTTCGCTTCTAGCAAATCAGTTCCCAGAAACAGGAAGTCTGAAAGAGTTATTTGGTAGAACTTCAACTAATCAAGACAGTAATACGAGTCATTCCAGATAATACTGAATGTAAGCATCCCACGCAAGTATCGTATAAGTTTGACTCAGTAATTTGACTAAAGCAAGATCGTTCACTTCCCTCTGAGATTGAGATTTCATGACGACAACTCAAAGTTGCATAAATTAACGCTCGTATGGTTTCAATAGTAGTGCAAGATTTGTGTATTTGTTGCTGTTTTTAAGTCTGTTGTTATTTTTTCTGATAATATGGTAATGGTTTCAGTTTCAGATGGTACAGGAGGAGGAAGTAACGAAGGAACCATATCCAACTGGTGTTCCTACTGCGCATATCCTACAAAAGCTTTCTGATGCCCTTTCTTCCTTCACTGTACCTGATCAGGTTTGTTCATGGATTTGAGTGATACAAATTATGTAGGAAAGGATAGATTATCCTTTTAAAATTCTGCAAATTAGTGTCAATGTATTCTCTATGTTAACTTATTGCTGAAGGGCTGAAAATTAGAGACCACTGGTTGCCTTCGGTGAATGATTTATGTTTCTCGCATATTACTCTTTTTAGCAACCGCTTTCTGATTAATTTCTTTATTTTTAATCATATTATAGAAAATTTTGGAAAGGACTTCTAAAGGGTTTTCGAAGTCTCCAGTGCAAGAAATTGATGAATATTTCGAGCTTGTTGCTAAACTTGGTCGACCACTTTTTAAATGGGATATAATACGATGTGCTTTTCTTTGGAAGCTCGAAGTAGTTTCTTGTATACATTAAATTTATTTGCAAATCTCTGTATGCAATTCAATAATAGGTTATATATACATGAGTAAGTCCATATCAACTAGATCTTTATAAGGTGCCAGTCGGCAGACGATAATAAATGAACGTGTTACTGTTCATACTGACTACTAGTTAACTTATTTTATTTGTTTTACTTTGTATAATAAGTAGTATATCAAGCAACTTATTTATGCATACAAATTTTCCAGTTTTTGTTGGCCCAAAAATTTATACTTGTTGCTCAGGAAATGCCTGACCCATTATTCTTCATTCATTTTTGCGCATTTATCAAAAAACGTCTAACGTTAGAGAAAGCACCGTTCTGTTACTATTTTCGCCTTATTATAATTGTTATCAATATTTTCGTTTTGAGCAAACGATGTCAGAAATGCTGTCTGTGGAGGCGGAAAATGCGGTTACCGAGAATGATAAAAAAATGCTCATCTCAAATGATGATCTGCGTCAACAACGCCAGTTTATTTTGCTAAAAGCTGCCGAATTCGACGGAACACCTTTTACCTTTCAAAGGTTGCCTTTATTTGTATGTCTTCCTCACTGTATGCTTTATTTTACAACTTCATTTTACATTTTTATTACAGAGTTCAGTTTCTTATTATTGGCAAGGTTTGATCGTGACCGTAATAGAAGCAAGTGTATGTAAATGAGGAAGTTGTGACAAAAAATTAATTTAAGGTTGTGTGAACTTTTGATTAGTCCTTCTCGACATTACAAACGAACAGACAAATATCTTCGAGCTTTGGAAAAGAATATCAATGTGGTAACGACAATTACGGAAAATGGAGAACGAATAACAGGAGTAGAACCATTTCCAGGAGAGCTAGACGTTAATCCCACGCTTCGCATTGAAGAGCCATTCTTCGTCCAGGTATATGCTATTGCAGTTTGTTAAATTATTTAATATACTTTCATCTATTCATGCAAAGTTTTCATTGACTCATCGATTTTCTGAATATAAACAGCTAATGTATCGGCATGAGATACATGTTCAATTTTTCACTGATTTTGTAATAATCCATTTTTCCTCTCCAACTACAATAATGAATATCGAAATTTTAAATCAAGGTTTTTTACAGGTCGATGAATGTGACGCGCCAATAGAAACGAAATTGATTGCTGCTGGAGACTATCCTAGCAGAGTACTTATCTAATTTATACGAGCTCCTCTTTTTGCTTAGTAATGTATTAGTTGCCCTTTTCGTCTTGGTGGGTACAAAGTGAAATTTTTTGATGTAAAGGATTATACGCTGTAGTTTAGTAAAATTTGAATTGTGACTTAACACTCGTTACAGAACGGACATTAGGTTCTTTGATAGGAATCTTTATTTTTAATTCTTCCCAGATTGGGCAAGAAATGCTCCGTTTGCTATTATTTTAATTCATAAACTCGCTTAACTAACTTATAAAATTCAGAAAGCATAAGAAGCATTTAAATTAAATTTTAAAGAATGGTACCATTTTTTATAAAGCATGAATTAGTGTACCTTAATTTTTCGAAAACTTTGTTACCAGTGGATGGATTTAAAGTTAACAGTTTCAACTGCAAACCGTTTTATAGGGGGTGGAAGATGCTTCACCATACCTAACTTATGGTCCCTATGGAAGGTAATGGCATACTTCTTAGACAGTATTTTGATGGGTGGTTTTCAGGGAAACGGATCTCCAGAAACAGTTGCAAAAGAACTAGAAATTGGCGATTGTGCTCCAATCAACTTGTCTCCGTCACGCGATGCTAAGGATGAGCTGCCTGAAATTAAAGTAAATGATTGTTTCTGTTTAAATTCATCCTCAAAAAGAATAAAATTTGGATCATATTTGCTCAGTAGAATTTCTAAGATTTATAGCTTGCAGCGTATTTCGCTAGTTGCAAAAATATATATAATCATGAATTGGTTTTATCCCATAATGGTCTGTTAATATTTTTAAAATAATCTAAATCTCGATAAAAACTTATGAATTGTGGCTTCTTCAGATTTTTTCCTTTTTTGATTATTTCGTAGGTAGGATTAACCAAATAAATAATTTTAGTCTCACGGTATGTGTTGCACTGCATTTCTAGCGCCTAATCCTCAGCAGGCTCTTCTGGAAATCTGAAAGGCTTTCTGAGGCTGGTATTTATAAATACTAGTGAAATAGTTATTGCGATCTAAAATACGGAAATCTTTTTCTTGAAAGGTGGTCATTCGGAGAGAATTAATGCTTATAATTCACTGCTAGGTTGGAAGGAACAATTGTTAGCGCTGAAATATGATTGCAGTTTGTTAAATGAAATTAATTTCAGGGGGAAGGGGATCATTCCTGACTTGTTTAAAAAAGAACTCTCCCTTAAAGACTTTCACTATGTTTACTGCTTTAGCACAATATATACATTACTTTTTTTGAATAGTTTCATCTATTCATGACAAGGTGAATCTTGCGCACCCGACTTGCTTGTTTCCAGCAAGAGAACAACTTAGAGCATAAAGCAGAACATGGCAACACACCAGTCGAACCGTTTGCAAAACCAGGAGTACAAAATGTCAAACCGGAAGAGATGAAGGACCGAGATTAGCATTTTTGATTGCCGGATGTAAATATGCTGCTGCAGTTATGTTCTTTTGAAAAAATGGAAAATATATTTCTTAATTTATTATTTGACTACCAGTGATTGTATTTGAGCAGAAATTACGGTTCTGCTGGAATTGTATGTAGATGTTTACATACGTCACTCTGTGTGTGAGCGGGTGCACGTTCTCTTATTGTTTCGTTGTTTCGGAGAAATACATTCCTTTATTTGATACATATTGCATATCCTGAATTCAGCTTATGGCTGATTTGTTGTATTATTGCAAGGCTTTGTTAAATGAACTGTTATTCTAGACTACTTTATCACTTCTTAGGCTATAGAGATAGGTTTCGTTGCAAAGACCAGCGCTTTCCTGTATCTGGCCAACAAAATCATTTTATACTTTTATTTTGCTGATGCCGTCATTCCGTTTATAATATGCGGAAGATATTTATTAAAAGCGAAAAAAGCATAGTTCACAAAGTGGAAAGCACTCGTATAACGATTTCAATGAATGATTGGACTACAAAATGATGCAACTTTACAATGGTAAATCAAACCCAACTGCTGGGAAGGAATAATGCAAGCTCTTATGTCTTTGGGGTGTTATTGCACATTCCTGTTTCAACACGAATCTTTGTTTTGGAGATGGACATAGATGCTGTTAACAACATAAAAAGGACTAGCACTCTTGAGAAATTTAACAGATGATTTAGTAACAATTTTGGTTTAGCAGCGAAGTTAACTCTTGGTATTAGGATTCCGTTAGCGGTTTTTATGCTTTTTGGTCAAGTATTAAGCTGCCATCAGAAAGTATTTCCAAATGAAAAAAAGCGGTAATTCTAAGACGAGTACTGTGCTTCGTTTGTCTCTCACATTAAGTTGTACAACGAGCGGTTCGAATGCAAAAGCATCTTCAACAAATGCTCTCGTAAAACAGGCGGGCCAATTATATATTTATATATAATTGGTCATAAGTACCACACTTAAACCTTAATGGTTTCCATAGCAGGCCAAATAAATATTCCAGCACTATGCTACATTCCAATATGGAGTCCCAAGCCCGCCAGCATTACTTCCTCTTATTTTATTGTTAAATTATGCTATTAAAAAACTATTCATGAATCACGAACGTTATTCAGTTTTCCTACTAAGTGTTACTGTTTTTAGCAGCAAAATTGAAAGTATCTGGTACCGGAGCATCCACATTAAAGGCGTATCCTCCTTGCTGCTCCACTTTCCTGCTCTTTGCCAATGACATTCGCTGTTCACACACCCGCAGCACTCCGTCCAGTATTACTTGTTTCTCCGTATTATTACATGCTGTCATAGAGAGTAGTAGTTTCTCATTACTTGTCTTCAGTGCTAAAATTTGAGAATTATACTTGTCGGTATTTTTGGAATTTCCAATAGCTAGTGTGCGGATGGTTATCAAAAAAGGCTCTCAGTTCAACATCCGTCTATATAAACAAATTGTTCAACAAGAAGAAAAAAAATTGTCGTGGTATAACACTAGATAATACAGAATAATTAATGCACTTGGCATTTGAATATTGTAAACCGCTCCGAAGATCAATACATTCACAGCGATAATTGCATTTTACAGAAAGAGAATGAAAACAAACCATCAAGTGTTTCCTTATAAAAAATGAAAACGTCGGCAGTTTCATCGTTATCAAGAGGGGTAAAATATGCTTCCATGGAATCTTCATCAAAGCTGTCTGATGTCGATGTTGAACCTGACTCAAACGCTTGTGCGTCACTGTCCGCCTAAATAAATGTAAATGTAAATAAATGCTGACTGAAGCGAGTACCATAAATCAGACTTTTCAAAATGATATTGTTATATAAGTATGAGAAAATTCTGCTGCCATCAGTCATTCTGGTGCTCATGAATCTTATGATGAATTATAACAGAAATCTTGCCCTTTTCAAGTGATGCGACCCATCAAAAATTCCTGGCTCCATTTACTGCAACTAAAAAGTCAACATACCCTTTCTTTCTTATTCTGATGTTCCGCCAAAGTTTCTAAATATTCAAGTACATCTTCATCTATCTCATCTTCGCTATCTGCTAAATCTTCATCTCTTCCAACTTCCTCCTGCAAAACGATTACATCATAAACAACACCATTCGATGTACGCTCAATATTTCACCTATTTCTTCACGAAGTAATTCATTTTATAGCACTTTGAAAAGCTTGTCTTCATAAATAAAAGACTATGCTCAAATAATTCATTGTAATGAATACCTCAGTTTCTTTACCATCAGATTCCTTTTCGTTGGCCAAACGATTCTCCGCCTTGATTTTCATCGCCTTCTGAAGCCCAATCAAAAGCGAAACAAGTAATTCATTGATCTATAAGTTGAATTCGATTTTAAATCTTGTATGTTAGATAAGACAAATACGATTTCTATATTCATAACGTTCAGATTGAATCCCGTTCCCAAGCCTACTGCGCCAGTATCTATCTTATATATATGATCAAAAATTGAGTGTGAGCGATGAGTGCGAGAGAGAGAAAGAATTATACGGAAGTTCGACATTTTTTGTACTCCAGATCCGGAATTCAGGATTGCATTTTGCCGTTGACAACATTTTGCCTTC